CCCCAGCACTCCACACAGAGAGCTCGAATGGACCTAAGGAAGTTCCGATCAGCGCCTAAACCACGAGGGTGGTCAGCACGACAGCAGCAGCAGTCGTGGCAGCAGTATCAGCTGCACCATTCTAGCTAGAGCCTCCTCATCCACTGCCGTCGCCGCGGCTTCTCCGCGCCCGCCGCCGCCTCCGCCGCCACCGCCGCCGCCACCGCCCTCAACGCCGTCGCCCTGTTCCCTCTGCGCCGACTCCCCGCCGCCGCGGCCCCTCGCCCCGCCCCCTGCGCGCGCGCGCGCCCCGTGCCCCTGCAAACGCTGACTCCTGCAGCTTCGCAGCCTGGCTCACCCCGCCAGGCCTTTTCCCCGGCGCGCGCCCGCCAAGCTCTTTCGAGGCGTGCGCCGGCGCAGTGGGGGAGCTGGCCCCGAGCTCGCCTTTCTCTGCGGATCACCGCGCTGTTGCAAAAAGGCGGCGCGCCCGGTCTTCTCTATCTCGCTCTCTCTCTCTCTCTCTCTCTCTTTCTCGTCCTCCTGCTTGCACCTCTCCTCTTCCTTCGTCCTCTCCACTTCCGGTCAGGGGCCTTTGGAGAGCGTGTCGCTCCGCGGGTTCTGGCCCACCACGCTTCGGCGCGACACGCTGTCCACTTCGCCATTCCCAGACGTCAACGTCGCGAGCCTTTCGCAGACTCCTGCCCCATGGAGCGGAGCGACACGCGATCCGCTAGCTTAGCGCACCGCCGGAGCCGCCGCCGCGATACGCTAAGCTAAAGTTCGCGACTGGACACGATTCCCGAGCCCCTCGGATACCTCTGGACATTCTGCAACAGCACAAGCCGCAGTTCTTTGGTATGTCCCGAGCCCAGACAGGCCACCCTAACAAAAACTTATCCCGGCAAAGCAACCTAACAGCGATGTGTAGGAGCAAATATGGAAGCATTCCCCTTAAGATTCAGATGAGAATCCAGTTGTATAATTCTGCTGTTCTCGCAGTCGCAGTCGCATTCGCGATGACAGTCGCAGTTGCAACGGCAGTCGCAGTCACAGCCTCAGCCTCAGCCTGCCTCAGCCTCAGTATGCCTCAGCCTCAGCCTGCCTCAGCCTCAGCCTGCTTCAGCCTCAGCCTCAGTCTGCCTTCAGCCTCGGCCTCAGCCTCAGCCTGCCTCAGCCTCAGCCTGCATCAGCCTCAGCCTCAGCCTCAGCCTCAGCATCAGCCTGCCTCAGCCTCAGCCTCAGCCTCAGCCTTCAGCCTCAGCCTCAGCCTCAGTCTGCCTTCAGCCTCGGCCTCAGCCTCAGCCTGCAGCCTCAGCCTCAGCCTCATCAGCCTCAGCCTCAGCCTGCCTCAGCCTCAGCCTGCCTCAGCCTCAGCCTCAGCCTCAGCCTCAGCCTCAGCCTCAGCCTCAGGCCTTCAGCCTCGGCCTCAGCCTCAGCCTGCCTCAGCCTCAGCCTGCATCAGCCTCAGCCTCAGCCTCAGCCTGCCTCAGCATCAGCCTGCCTCAGCCTCAGCCTCAGCCTGCCTCAGCCTCAGCCTCAGCCTGCTTCAGCCTCAGCCTCAGTCTGCCTTCAGCCTCGGCCTCAGCCTCAGCCTGCCTCAGCCTCAGCCTGCATCAGCCTGAGCCTCAGCCTCAGCCTGCTTCAGCCTCAGCCTCAGTCTGCCTTCAGCCTCGGCCTCAGCCTCAGCCTGCCTCAGCCTCAGCCTGCCTCAGCCTCAGCCTCAGCCTGCCTCAGCATTCAAAATGTGGTCGGGGAATGGAGTTCTGGGAACTCAAAGAACACGAAGTGGCCTGCAGTTGGCTCCGGGCATTCAAAGTCATGCCCAGGAATAAAGTTCTGGGAACTCGAAGACCACGAAGAGGCCTACAGTTCGCTCCGGGCATTCACAATCATGCCCAGGAATGAAGTTCTGGGGACTCGAAGACCACGAAGTGGCCTACAGTTCGCTCCGGGCATTCACAATCATGCCCAGGAGTGAAGTTCTGGGAACTCGAAGACCACGAAGTGGCCTACAGTTGGCTCTGGGCATTCAAAATCATGCCCAGGAATGAAGTTCTGGGAATTCGAAGACCACGAAGTGGCCTACAGTTGGCTCCGGGCATTCAAAATGTGCCCAGGAATGGAGTTCTGCAGAACTCGAAGACCACGAAGTGGCCTACAGTTGGCTCTGGGCATTCAGAATGTGGCCCTGGAATGGAGTTCTGGGACCTCGAAGACTACGAAGTGTGTAACTGTTTGCTTAAAACGACTTCCGCGGATTCTCCCCGGATCCTGCCGGGACCCCCCTGGGGAGTCATGATGCTTTCTCTTGAGACCATTAGAAACCCATCAGTCTTCGCTGTTAGGTAATATGCAAACAAATGCACACATCATAACTACCATATATTCCTGGTCCTCGTGCTCGCTGTCTCGCTGCCGCTCGGCCCAGCCTTGGGTCGACATCCGTTTCACTGGTTATGTCAGTATAATTTCGGCGTTGCATCATCGCCCCCCGCTCAGACTGACACCCACAACACCAGCGAGTCGAATTGACGACGAGCCTCCGAGTCCCATCATCAGCCTGATGGGAGTTTTGTTTGCATCCGCCTCGGACATTTAGATACCACTTTCTCATTCTCTGCCCTCGGCCCTCCTGATGTTCCTCGGCCCTCCTGATTTTCCATATGAGCGTTTGCATGATGTTCTCGATGTCTGTATATCGGTAGGTCATCATGGCCAGCCTGGGTGAACAATATCCTGGACATTTTGGCGCAATCCACTGCGTGTTTCAGCTGATGATCGCAGCCTTTCCCTGCCACTTACCCCGAGACTTTGCGAGCGAGTGAGAGAGAGAGAGAAGAAAAAAAAGAAGAAGGAAGAGCGGGAGGCAGGGAGACAACATCATATGGATAGAGCAACATGAGATCAGGAGTGAGCAGCATGACATCTGGAGATAGAGATAGAGAAAGAGAGAGAGAGAGAGAGAGAGAAAGCGAGAGATCGGACGCAGAGGGACAGGTTCGGGTTTCGGAAACCCAGGAATCCGTCGGGGGAGCCCAGGGGGTTACGACGAGCGTAGCAGCAACAGGGCGCAGCAAGCAGCGACACGCATCATTCCTGATCCCCGAATCCGGTCCTGGACCAGGCTCTGGCCGCAGCCCCGGCCCTGGCATCGGCTCCGGCCACGGCCCCGGAAATCGACTCACAAAACATTCTGCGAAGGTCTTACAGATGGTGCCGCCGACCCTGAATGGGGACGACGACGACGACGACGACGACGACGACGACGAAGAAGACGACAAAGACGACGACGACGACGACGACGACGACGACGACGACGACGACGACGACATCGGTGGAGACAACGACGACGCTGACGTGGGTCAGAGTCCTCAGGGACTCTTTTTGGGGTCTTTTCGGAGTGCTCTCGGAGGCCTCTGGGGGGCAGTTTGGGGGGCCTCTTGGGAACATCTTCGGGGCCTCTTTGGAGCCTCTTGGGAGCCTCTTGGAGCTTCCAGGGGCATCTTGGGGGCCTCTTGGGGCCTCTTGGGGGCCTCCTGGGGGCCTCTTGGGGCCTCTTTGGAGCCTCTCGGGGCCGAGGGCTCAAAATGTCCGTTTGGCCACCCTGTCTGGGCACCCTCTGGAAGCCCTCTTGGGGGCCTCTTGGGCCGTCTTGCAGGCGTCTTGGGCCGTCTTCAGGTCCTCTTTGGCTCGTTTCGGGACCCTCTTGGAGGCCTCTTAGGGCGATCGTTGTAGCCTCCTGGGCTGTTATGAAGCGTCGGGAAGCTGAAAAAGGTGAGAACGCCCAAATCCTTAAACACCGAATGTTGCCTATTGGGGATCTCTTGGGAGCGCTCTTCGAGGCCTCTTGGGGCGTCTGCCAGTCCTCTTGGGCCGTCTGGAGGCCGTAAAGACGTCTTGGACCGATCGTTCGGCGATTCGGGGTCCTCTTGGACCGCCTCAGGGGCTTCTTGGGGCACTCTTGGCTAGTCTAGGAACTTCTTTGGGCCCCGGGCCCATCACAGGGAAGGGACTTCCTTCTGACTTTATTACGATATTGCTCAATTTCGTTTTGGATGGCCCAGGAAAAGGGGAGGGCAGCGACGAGCCCAGGGAAAGAGGGGGAGCGGCGACGGCGGCGGCAACGGCGACCACGACGACGTCGTCGACGAAGACGAGTCACACAAAGCAGCCTCTTCCACACGCCGACAGGGTCGACGGATTTGTCTTTGCTACCCGATTGCCTTTGGGCCCCGCCCGCTCCCACCCGGCCCATGCCCCGAAAAGGACTATCTGATGGCATGCCTTGGACACCTGGTCCCCGGGACACGAGTCCCCGGCATGCCAGGGACACTTGTTCCCAGCATGCCAGGGACATCTGTCCCAGAATTTCCCCAGCATGGCGGGGCCAGCCCCGGCCCCGGCCCCGGAAAACGACTCCCCAAACACAGATCATTCAATGTATTACCGGATTGCCTTTGGGCTCGTCCCCCAGTCCCGCCCGGCCCAGGCCCTGGAAAAGAATTCCGATGCAGACGTGGATTTTTTCTTACACCATCAGATGGTTTTCCAGGGACGTTTGTCCACGGCATGCCGGGGACACCATGGCATTTGGGCATCGTGAAGGGGTCTTTGGGAGTTCCTTGGACCGTCATTGGATGGTCTTGGGGCCGCTTGCAGCCGTTTTGAGGCGGTCTGCAGACCGGAGGCCGAACATGACTTTGGAGAGCAGGCCCAGGATGGCTGTCCTTTTGACCACTGCTGGCGCAAGGAGTGGGGTGTGCCTCTAGAAGACTACAGGCTGCGGCAGAAGGATGAGCGCAGCAAAGAGCAGGAAGAGGAGGTTGGTGAGAAGGGCAGGAGCAGGAGCGCAGGGAGAAGGCCGACGTGTCGGAATTGGGATGAGCAGTAGCACGGACGTGCAGGTGGGACGGGGGGTAGAGAGTAGGAGGGGGCAGCAGAGAGTACGAGGGAGCAGGAGGAGGTCGGCAACGACGACGAGCAAGAGGACGTGGACGAGGGTGACGATGGGTGTATGCCGCAGCGGTTCTGGCTCTGGCCAGGGCCTTTGTCCATGCACATTCCTGACTAAACACCTTTCGGAGGCCCCGAGGCGCTCAGGGGGGCCCACCTCCCTGGTGAGCCTGGCCACCTTCGCGTCATCGTCGTCTCTCGGTCCCTTGCCTCTCATGCCTCCAAGTTCCCCCTTCCATCCTTCTCTTCCACCAGAGCACTTCGTTTCTGGACGTTCTCAGGGGGTCCTGCTCTACGGGGCCGACGCGCCAGGGCATATTGACACGCTCGTGTGCATAGTTAGGGCGTCAGTCCAGTCAACAAAAACATACACAGTGCACATGACGTGGCCAGCATGGGCGAGAGTTGGATACGCATGTGACCACGCGTCTTTGCCAGTACCTTGGCCATCGTATGGCCGTGCACGCCTGCCTTCGCATGCATATCCAACAAGTGGCCTCCACATACACCGCATGTGAGTCTGACCATCTGTGCGTCCACCTTTGTGGCCCGCCATCCTTGCACCTTCACTCGTTCCTTCCATCCTCTCTCCATTCTCCACCACCCTCCATGCTCAACCCCAAACCATCCATCATCCATCATCTACCCACCCTCCCTGCATCCTCTAACCCCCCGCCAACCTTCTCATTCCTCCCTACATCCTCCATCCCTTCCAACCTCCCCCCTCCTCGAAATCCCCCCCAACAGATTTCACTGGGTGCGTTTTGAATAGGAGTTGAAGGCCGATCCAGCCGTGGCGGTGATCCACCCCCTCCCGCTGGATTCAATCTCAACTCCTCGAAGGAATCAAGGGAACACGCTGAGTATCTTTGGCAGCCTCAGAACCATGACATGTGCTCCGCTATGCACAGATGAGGCAGCTTGAGCGGCGGCCTCATCCTGAAGTGCCCTCAGCACGAATGGCAAAATACGGGTCCCATGGGGAGAAGAAGAAGTGGCACGCAGGCTTCAGAGTGCCCCCTGACAGTTGCTGGATGAAGCGGCGCAGCCGACGGCGCAGCCTGCGGCAGAGTCCCAACTTTAGGGACCCCGTTGGCAATACGCATGCCCTCCGGCGGCACGGCGGGAATCGCGCACGGCCTGCACCACCACCACCACCCCTCCTCGCTCCTTGCCCCCTCGCGTCCCCCCTTCGCACGTTCTCGCACGTCTCCGCGCCCCGACGCGTCCCACGCCCCCCACGCCCCCGCACGTGCCCGCGCCCCCCCCCACAACGTCGCCGCGCCCCCCATGCCCCCGCACACCCCGCGCCCTTACGACGTCCCCGCGCCCCCACCACGCTCCTCCTCGCCCCGCGCGCCCCCACACGCCTCGCGCCTCGCGCCTCGCGCGGCCCCACCGGCCCCCCCATCGGGCCCCCGTCGGGCCATTGTCGCTCCGCTCGGCTCTCCCCTCCGCTCCGCTCTGGCCCTGCTGCTCGCCGAGAGCACGAGCCTGAAGCCGCAAGCCGTCTGGCGCGTAGGCGAGAAAAGTGTGAATTCCAGCGTGCACAGCGAATGCGCCTGCTAAGCAGGGCAATAGGAGGAGAAGGAGGAGGAGGAGGAGGAGGAGGAGGAGGAGGAGGAGGAGGAGGAAGTGCATGCACAGAAGAAGAGGAGGCGAAGAAGAGGAGTCGGAGTCGGAGGAGGAGGAAGAGGAAGAGGAAAAAGTAAGCCACAACGATCATCTGATCTTTATTCGCGCAACGTCAGAAAAGGAGGAGGCGGAGGAGGCTGAGGAGGAGGAGGATGAGGAGGATGAGGAGGAGGAGGAGGAGGAGGAGCAGGACGAGGAGGAGGAGAAGGAGGAGGAGGAGGAGGAATGAGCGAGAAATCAGGGAGAGGGCATCCAACTAGGGTAACGGGCCCCCACAGGCCCCGGGGGCCTTCGCCCACCGACCACCCCCCAGGACCGCCAGCCGCCAGCCTCCCTTGTCGCCTGGCCGTCCCTGCCCCCCTCTCGTCCGCGTCCTTCGGGCTCGCCTCCCGGGGGCCACTCTCTCGCCGCCCTTGGGCGCGGACCCTCGGGGCCTCCGCGGCGCGCCGCGCGGGGCCGGGCCAGGGCGCCCCGCGACCTCCGCTCGGCTACACGCAAGAGCGATTCATTCGCCGGGGTGTCCTTTTGGTGCGGGCCCGCAGGGATCGCCTCGAAGGAAACGGGTCCTGAGGGAAGCGGGTCCGGGTCCTGAGGTTTTTCGCAGTTTTCGTGCTCCTGGGGCCCTCCACGGGCCCCTGGGACTTGCACGTCCCGGACCCGTTTCCCACCCGATCCGTTTCCGTCATGCTCAAGGCATCACCCGAGCACTGGCTTGAAGCGCATTGCGCTCTCGGATTTGGCACCCCCGCTGCCCCCAAATGTCGCGCACCAAAGGTCACTCTTGCCAAGGGTCACTCCTGCGTGCAGCCGATCCGCTGGCCTGCCCCGTTCGAGGGGTGGGGGGGGGCGCCGTGGCCGCGCGCCCGCCTCGCTCCGCGGCCGCCCGAAAGGCCAAGGCGGCGCGTGACAGCCGTAGCTTCCTCGTGCGAATCTGGAGATCTCTGGAGCTCTCTGGAGGCCTCCAGAGGGTCAACACACATCTGAGACAGTTTGTTTCCCCTGGTGAGGACGGGCGTGACCGAGGTGGGGTAGGGCGGAGGGGAGGCCAAGCAAGTCACGATTCGCGCCGGTGCCGTGTGGAAATGTTGAGCTCCCACACGGCGCCGGCGCGAATCGTGACGTGACTGGGGGGGAAAGGGGGGGCGGGCGGGGTGGGTCACGGTCGTCATCGCGAATGATAGATAATTTGTTCTTTGTTGGTTTTAAGGAGGTTGTCCACCAGCTTTCTGGTAGCTTCTCGGGCGGCCTAACGTCCATTCGCCCCTTGGTGCCATGGTCGCAGCGCTTGTTCGCAGCCGTGTCTGCAGCCTGCTAGTGTCTGGCTGCTCGTGGACGCCACCCGACGACGACATCGCCCTCGACGCCAGAGTCGACTATGACGCCACGCGACGACGACGAAGACGGCGACGACGACGACGACGGAGACGAAGACGGAGTCTGAGACGGAGACGGAGACGGAGACGGAGCTGACGACGACACGACGAGTACGTTGACGACGGTTGTGGCGGCGGCGGCGACGGCGACGATGACGACGACGACGACGACGACGACGACGACGACGAGGACGAGGCGACGACGAGGACGGCGGTGGCGACCACGACGGAAACGACGAGGACGACGACGACAAAAAGAAAGACGAGGACGGCGTTGATCAGATCATGCCTCCGTTTGCGCTGCCGATCACCATGTCCGATGCAGCCACGATCGCTGCGTGACCGCCTGACTAGCGTATCCCGTGATCTCCGGCTCGCGCGATCGGCCGACCAGGATGTCCTTTCGATGCGAGTCGCCAGACGGTGCCAGGGCGCCAGCGGTTCGAAGATGCCGCCGCGCTTCCCAGCTTCCCAGCTTGCGGCAGCCAGGCCTGGCCTGGCCTGGTCGGTCGGTCGGTCGGTCGTCGCCTTCACCTTCGCTTTTGCCTCGTGCGGGAGTCTTTTCGGCCAGGGCCAGACGTAGCTCGAAGAGCTTGCCAGGTTGGGCGCCTGGGAGGGGCTCTGGGGTCGATGTTCAGCGGGTGTTTGCCCCATCCCGACCCGGACACCCGACTTCCCCTCAGATCGAGGCGTCGTAGATGCAGATTGCGGCTGGCGTTTGGTCGCCCCGTTTTTAGTCTTAGGATCTTCGCGGATCGGCCCGACTTGGGACGCCGTGGGAAGATGGGATGGGGAGTTTGGGCTGTTCATCTCGAGTCCTTAAGTTTAATGGTCCCGAGGCCCGAAGCTGGTCTCCGGAGGCCAAGAATCCACTTCACGTAAGTTGGGTGTGTTATGAGTGGGAGTCAGTTTAAACATGAGTTGTTGTCTTCCCCGGCTACGAACGTCCATGCACGATTGCTTATTCGTGGTCGCTAAGAGGCGCTAGTTGGCGCAAATGTGCGTTACTAGTCCTTAGTAGGCACCAACAGGCGCTAAGTAGAGACAATGATATACACAGACAGGCAGGCACTTACAGGGCAGAACCTGTCAAACTCGCGCTCTCTCTCTCTCTCTCTCTCCCTCTCTCTCTCACACACACTTCACACACCGTAGGCGTGACGCTTCCTCAGCGACAGTTGGTGCGCGGATTTCTGGGGGAACGCGGGGGGGCAGCCCGCTGCCCTCGCATCGCATGCAAGTGTCGGCAGGCCCCGCACCGTGGCCCTCTCTGCACTCGTGCCTGCGCGCAGCCGGGTAACTGGCGGCAAACTGGCCGCCTCGATTTCTTGCTGGATGTACTCTTGCTGCTGGATTTGTTGCTCGACCCTTTCGCCTTGACTTGTTCGAGGAGCTGGCGGCAAACTGGCGCCAGGTGTTGGGGGGGGGGGAGAGGCGAAATCGGTTCATCCTTCCCCACACCCACCATCCTGCCATCCCACTTCTCCATTTTGGGATAGGCCCCTCGAAACTCGAGGGGAACAGGCAATATCCCCATCTAGGGGTCGAGCATGCTGGGGGCCGCTGGTTCCCGCGATCAGGAAGGGGGGCGAGGTCCGAGGTTCTGGGTTGGGGAAGGCTTTTTGCCTTCTTCGGTCTCCAGGGGCCGCTTTCGAGCCCAAGGACCGTCAAGAACGGATTCGGGATGAAACGATCGCCAGACGGGAAACGATCTTGAGCGGAGTTGACTGAACAGATTTTCTCGGGGCCCATCCAGTTCAGTTCCTGCGGCCGCCTCCAAATCTAGAGAGGTACATCGGCAAGTGGGGCCAGGGCCACGTCAGTGGGGGATAGGGATGGTTCAACGATGCTCGGAGGGTAGTCCGACTCTCCACGCCTCGATCTAGCCCCCGAGGCGCGCGCGCAGAAGACTTGCGTCTCCAGAGGCGACGATAAGAGCGAATAGCCCAGGGGGAGCAAGACACGTATCCAAGGGCCCCGATGGCCCATGTATTCGGCGAGGGCCCCCTGCGAATAGGTGTAATGCCCGCCCCCTGGCTACTCACCGCTATCGCCGATGCATCGCCGATGCATCGCCAGTGCATCGGCGATGCATCGCCGATGCATCGCCAGTGCAGTCCTCCGACCCCCGTATTTGGACCCCACCGCTAGGAGGCCTCCGGACTCCCCAGGCCCCGGCCCTGCCCCCGAGGCCCGCGCGCAGAAGAGCCGCGCCGCGGGGTGGCGGCCCGGCCTGCCGTCATCGGCCTCGCTGGCCCTGCATGGGGGGGGGCTCGGTGGCCGTGCAGCCGTGCACCTCCCCTGGTCAGCCTGGGCGGCGCGCGCAAGAGTGGGGGGCTGCCAGGAAGGTTCGTCGGACAAGGTTCCTCTCAGAAGGCGGCGTCGGGGGTGGACAGACCTCCTACCCTGACACGTCGATTAGGGAATTGGCCGTTTTCGGTTCGCGAGAGGGCGTCACGGCCGTCATTTTTGCGGGTCCAGGTCCGTCAGTTTCGGTCTCAGGCCGTTTTCACTAAGTGGAGGTGTACTAAAGCGAGGTTTGCCCAACGCCGACGGCGGGGCTTCTCAGAAGCCCTCCAGCCTTCTGAGAAGTTGTTCCCTGCCTTCGGAGAAAGCTTTGAAACAATCTGGGAAGGCGCTAGAGCTTCTGAGAAGGCCCGCCGTCTTCTGAGAAGGCATGCCCCCTCTCACTCTCCACCCTGGGCTCGCCGCCGAAAGGTTGGTTTCCCCAGACCTGAGGCCCCCCCAGCCCGATCTGATGCCCCCCAGCTCGACCTGAGGCGTCTTAGCAACCGTCGAAATCACCCTTCGTGAATGAGATCCTCTCGCCGTTCCCGACCGAGGGTGGCGCGATCGGGTGGCCTTCTGGATGGCGGGGCACGTCTTAGGAGGCAGGGGGCTTCTCAGAAGCTCTCCCAGCTAGTTACAGTAAGGAACCTTCAAGGGCCACGCCAAGCCCAATCCCCCTGCCTTCGAGAGGCCATCCTTACAGTAAGGAGCCTTCAAGGGCGACCCTACGCCTTTGATCTGCACCTCGATGAGCAACAAAGTATACAAACATGCGAGTTTCGAGTGACCGCGCCCAGCGCTGACTCAAGAAACCCGCGGACTTCCGACAGCTCATGTTTATAGCGTTGCTTGGTTCCTTTAGGACTCTAGGACCGATTGTTTATGCCCTTGCGTTGTTCCTCTATGATCGATCGTCTTGTTCCCCCTGTGCTTATGCCGCTTATTCGTTCCTCCCTGTACGCAGCTACGTGCAGAGAGGGATATGGGGGAGGGGTGAAGGCTTCTTAGAAACACCCCTGCTTCTTAGAAGGCGCGGGCCTTGTCTGTAGATGTACGGTCAGCGGCTTGTAAGAAACAGCATCCTTTACACACTATGAATGCTACTCTCCCCTCTCCCCCGAAGACGACGGGGAGGCGTCCTGGCCTCCTCCGCGTATTGTTTTCATGCACAGGGTGCCGCCGAGTTGATATTGAGTTCTTCCAATTCGAAACTTGTCAGTCCTTCCAGAGTGGCGCTCCCCCTTCAGCGTTGACTCCAGGTTCCCGACTCATGTTCTCGTTGTAGCGCTGTCCTCATTCCACGATTCCGGCCTTTCCAAATCGTGCGCATGCAGCAGCGGTGGTTTTCTTTTCACGCTTCCAGTCCTTCCAAAGCGTGCTCGCACTGCAGCGCTGATCTCATTTCCGCGGCTTCGGTTCTTCGAAATCATGTTCCCGCTGCAGCGGTGATCTCATGTTGCGCTTCCCGCTTTCAAAACCGTCCATTTGAATTTCCTGTCCTGTGTCATTTCTGGTTTCCCTCTGACATTGTTGTCGAAATGAGTCGCGTTCTCGGCGCGATGCCATGCTATGCCGTGCTGTACCATGCATCGCGCATTCTCGGGACCAGTGCCCTGTTCGACATCCGACCGTGCGAATGGAGAGGAGATCTACGCAACGAGAAGGAGTGGAAGAGAGGGGCAGGACGTCAGCTATGACGCTTGCGCACCTGGCCTGTGCTGCCCCCTTCTGCGCGCCGCCGACTTACCTTCATCGTCGAGCGGGCAGCCGCCGCCGAGGTCTGGGGCGCCCTCGTCCTCGGCTTCGGCTGCGGCGCGGCGGCGGCCGCCCCGGGAGCCTCTGCGGCGGGAGGAGCTGCCCCTCGGCGCCCCCCGCCCGCGGCGGAGGGCGGCCTCCAGCTGCGGGCGCGGCGCGCGACCTCCCCGCGGCAGGAGACGACGCCGCCGTCGGCGACGTCGACGACGACGCCGCCGCCTGCGACGGCGACGTCGACGGCCAAGGCGAAGGCGAAGACGAAGGCGACGACGAACACGACGCCCCGGTGACGACGACGACGACGACGACGGCGGCGACGACGACGGCAATGGCAGCGGCAGCGACGACCCCGCCCTCGTCGTCGCCGTCGTCGTCCTCGACGCCTTCGCCGTCGTCGTCACCGTTGTTTTCTTCGCCGTCGTCTTCGTCGCCGTCGCCTTCGCCGTCGTCTTCGTCGCCGTCGTTGTCGGTGTCGACGTCCTCGTCGTCGTTGGCCCCCGCCCTCGGCGGAGGGTGGACCTCCAGCCTCGAAGGCTGCCAGGACCCAAGGTGCCCCCTCTCGAGGGCCTCCATCTTGCGCACGTGTCGGGACAATCAAGTGATGCCCAGGCTTGGTGCAGTTCCACCATGTGCGAGCATCGTCGCAAATCCTGCTCAACCACCGATGCACTCAAGCATTTGTTCGTGAAGGGTGAAGTGGGTGTCGAGCGCGTAGTCTTCCAGCGCATCCACCACGTCCCGCTGCGCCTGCTGGGTGCCTGTCAGTGTGGGCAAGGAAGGCGGAAATCCCACCAGCCCTCTGGGCGTCGGTGGTTTAGAGCGTTTCCTCTTCCACCCCTCCTTCTTCCCCTTCGGGGAGGGGTTTACCCCTCCCCCTACCCCCTCCCCACTGACCTGGACAGGGGGGGCCGCGGGTAGTTAGAGCGTCCAAGATCGACTCCTGGGAAGGCTAAAATTCGACACCCCTCACGAGGATCGTGGCTCCTGAGGGGGGGGCTGTAATTAGGGAACCCCCCTTCGTTGATCGATCTCCTCCAAGATTGTTCCAAAAGACGTCTTGGACCCCCTCTTGGGCTCTGCGCGCGGGCGGGCGGAGCGCCGCCCGCCCGCCCGCAAGGCCCAAGAGCCCACCAAAACGTTCGAAGACACTTCCAATATGCCACCAGGGAGGAGGAAGAGGCGGAGGAGGAGGAGGAGGAGGAGGAGGAGGAGGAGGAGGAGGAGGAGGAGGAGAGGGAGCAGGAGAGGAGGAGGAGGAGAAGGCGGAGGAGAAGGAGGAAGAGGGGAGGAGAACAGCTGCCGATCATCGGCGCTCTTCGTTCGAGTGCCTGGTGTAGGATGGGCTGGTGGGGATACGCGAAGCGTCAAGAATTGGGGGATGGACACGGCGATGACGACGACGACGACGTCGAACGGCGACGACGTCGGACCGAAATCTGTTCAACATCTGTCCCTCCCTCGTCTTCTGTGTTGTGTTCTTCTGCGGCAGGGGTTGTAGCACAATGTGCAACAGCGGCTCGATACGTTTTGAGGGCAAGTTCGTATCAGTTGCCGCCTGGTTTTCTCCAGCCTTTGTCCTCCTCGTCATTCCCGTTCTCCTCCCTGGTTTTCTTGGCAACCATGCTCTGCCTGCTCTACCTCTTGCTGGTCTCGCACGATCGTGCATTTCACCCGGCATTGGTCGTGCGCCCAAGCGTTGACGAGTCTGGGCTGCCGAGAGCAGTTACCGTAACACCTCGCAGATGCGGATCAGAGTGCGGGGGCGGTGGGGACGTCGGCAGTTTGCGAGTCTCTGGAGAATCCCGCCGCATGCGCCACAGTTTCACAAATTATGCAACGAGCCCGCCGCCGGCGCCAATCTTTGTCGTTAAACCGATGTGGGTAGGTCGCGGGTGGGTCGCTGGTGGCTCGCAAATGGGTCGCGGGTGGGTCTTTCACCGTAAAGTGTTCTTGGCATGAAGCGGCCAGGTGCCAGGCAGTGGAAAACTGGTTTTGTTGTGAAGCGGCCGAGGCGCCGCTCAATCTTAACGAAGCTCGATGTTGCTCACAACAAGCAAGTTATTCCATTCAGCTGCGCTGAAGATAGAGCCTGGCTGTCGAGGGGGTCACAGACCTCATCATCATCACCATCATCATTATCACCGTGATCATGACCATGATGATGGTGACGACGGTGATAATGGCGATGGTGATGGTGAAGATGGTGGTGGTTATTGTGATGATGATGATGGTGGTGGTGGTGATGGTGATAAAATGTTGTGATGCTGTTGGTGACGTTACTGATACATCTTCATCACCATCATGATAATGATAGTGGTGATGATGTTGTGGGATGTTGATGGTGGTCGTGGTGATGATGACGATGCTGATCATACAGATGCTAATGGTGAGAATGCTAATGGGTGAGGGAGGAGGGTGAGGAGGAGGAGGAGGAGAAGGATGACGGAAAGGAAAAGTGTTCTTTTCATAGGCCCCAAACCTGCAGGATGGTTTGGAAAAAGGTATTCTGGGCCCAGCGGTTTGGGACAATCCCGAACAAAAGTGCACCAGGAAGGGCTGGTTGGCTGGTTGGTTGGATGGCTGGTTGGCTTCCGGGTTGCCAGGTGAGCCGGCGTCCACTTGCCAATTTTGGTACACGCCTCACACGTACCGCGCCTTGGGAACCAAATGCGACTTGCTTCGACCTGGAGAAATTCGTGATCCGCATTATACACAATGGCTGCAGATAGCAAATGGTACCGGAGAAAAAACCCAATCAGGGCTATAGGGCTAGGGGGCTATAAGGCTATTGAGCTATAGGGCTATAGAGCTATATAGGGCCATTGGGCTATACGGCTACAGGGCTATAGGGCACCCCCGGGCACCCGGGCACGCCCCGGCATCCGGGCACCTGGTCAACCGGGCACCCCCGGGCACCCGGGCACCCGAGCACCCGGGCGTGCTGCGAAAATCGGCGGCAAACCTAATCTAACCATACGAATCCGCTAGGACCCCTACAGAGGCAAGCTCTGATTGGGGAACATTTTGACTTGGGACCTCATTTTTCCCGCTCAATCACGCCCGTTGCAGGAGGGTATTTTTTGATTTGTTCGCGGTCCGCCGTTTGTCGCCGCCGTCCCCTGAGATCCGATGTTGCGAAGCTAAGACCAAGAATACACGAGACATGGCGTAAAAAAGCGACCGGTGTCCTCGGCTCCAGCTTTCTTCGGCAAATCTCAAGCCAGATCGAGATGTTGCGGCCCCGGGGCCCAAAGCAAGGCGAAAAATCCCAGTATAAAAAATCCGATTCTCAGGGGAGGCCAGACGAGAACAAACGTTTTCCGGATCCCTTAATAATCGGCCCCCTCTAAAAAACCGGACACCCCTTTCTTTTGCGATATAATTTTCCGGACCCCCTTCCGCAGGGGGCGCCTTCATATTCTGGACCACCCCCCGCCAGCAACATTGCGAGCGCCATCGTTCATGACGGTGGCTTGGAGATAACGGTGACGATAAGTAGATGCCGTTGCCAACGTGAAGTTGGACCACACTGTTGAGGAGCGTGATGGGAGCAAGGTCTGAGTATCCATGTTCCCCCCGCAGAGTTTTTGCGAGATGCACTGGACCTCAGGATGATGATGATGATGATGACGATCATGACGATGACGATGGTGATGGTGATGGTGATGGTGATGGTGATGGTGATGGTGATGGTGATGATGATGATGACGAAGATGATGATGATGATGATGATGATGATGATGATGATGATGATGATGATGATGATGATGATGATGATGAAGATGATGATGATGATGATGATGCTGATGCTGATGATGATGATGATGATGCTGATGATGACGATAATGATGATGATGATGAATGATGCTGATGATGATGATGCTGATGATGCTGATGATGATGATGATGATGATGATGATGATGATGATGATGGTTAGTACTCCGCGGGCTGGTGGTCACGAGCACGAGCATCGAGCATGTCGCGTGCGTAAGGGTGGTGTGAAATTGCATGCTCATAAAGCGCCCGAATAAACCGGACCCCCCTGAAAGTCGGCTTCTAGAAAACGCCTTAATAAACCGGACCCCCCTGCCTCCCTCAAAGGCGCCTTAAAAAACGGGACCCGCGGGACGATTATTAAGGGATCCGGAGTACCCTGGAGAGTGGGCCTCAGAGCCCACCACGGGGCGCCCGACGGCTGCGTTGTGGCGCCCGCCGTGGCTGGAACCGTGCGTGGCCGCTGCGACACCTCATTTGGGCTACGTCGTCCTGGGGGTGTGTTTGGCCCCAACAGCCCGGTTCTCAAGGTCGCCGATGACCGCCAGCGCCCCGCGAGGAGGACGAGAAGCTCTTGATGCTGCAGGTCGCCAGGGCGCCCAGCGACAGGCGGTTGTCCTGCAGGGGGCGGCGGACCTTGCGCCCCCCTCGGCCTCCTTTGCGGCCGGGCCTGCCAAGCATTTCCCTCCTCCTCCCTCTCCTCCTCCTCCTCCTCCTCCTCCTCCTCCTCCTCCTCGTCCTCGTCCTCCTCCTCCTCCTCGTCCCCCTCCTCCTCCTCCCCCTCCTCCTTCTCCCTCTCCTCCTCCTCGTCCTCCTCCTCCTCCTCCTCCTCCTCCTTCCTCCATCTCCATCGTCCTCTCTCTCCATCCCTCTTCCGAGACCTCCCAGTGTTTCGAGAAAATCCAGGCTGAGGGTTTCGCCTGTTTCAGCTTCCGGAGGCCCCCGACAGGCCTGGGGGCCGTCCAAAACAGCCCTGGACGAAAATCCAGTCTGAGGGAAGTGGTCCCGAGGTCTGGGGACCCCGCATGGAAAACATGATCAAAGCATCGGAGGTATGGATTTTTCCTGCTCCTCCTGGCTCCCTCCTCCCCCCTTCCGTCTACGACGGTCAGGGCGACGACGACGCCGCCGACGCTGCTGCCTCAGGCGAGACGCCGACGCCGACGCTGACGCCGACAGAAGCGGGGGCGACGCCGATACCGACGGCTGCGGCTGCGCTGACTCTGGGGGAGGTGGGGGCGGAGGAGGAGAAGGAGGAGGGGGAGGAGGGGGAGGGGGAGGCCCCCAGGCCTGTCCAGGGTTGTGTTGGACGGCCCCCAGGCCTGTCGGGGGCCTCCGGAAGCTGAAACAGGCGAAACCCTCCGCCTGGATTTTCTCGAAACGCTGGGAGGTCTCGGAAGAGGGATGGAGAGAGAGGACGATGGAGATGGAGGAAGGAGGAGGAGGAGGAGGAGGAGGAGGAGGAGGAGGAGGAGGAGGAGGAGGAGGAGGAGGAGGAGGAGGGGGGGGAGGAGGGGGAGGAGGAGGGGGGGGAAGCCGGAGGAGGAACAGGAGGAAAACGAGCAAGTATCGATCCGCGATCCTCACGGCGGCGACGACGCCGACGGCGGCGGTGCCGACGCCGACGAGACGCGCCGGCGTCGACGGCGGCGGCGCGGCGCCCTCTTCCCTCTCTGGAGGTCGCGAGCCTCGCGGTGGCGGACCGCGCGACGTTGGCGCGGCGGCTGGCCGAGTCGCGGCAGGACACTGGCCTGTGACGGCGACTGCCGGCGGCGGAGCACGCGTCGGGGTTCGGGGCTTGGGGATGTTTCAGGACAGCGACGCCGACGAGGACGGCGACGAGGACGGCGCGGCTGCCTGCCCTGTGTCGTCTGGTTGGCGCCCTCCGCTACAGAGGCCGCCGAATGCGGCGAGCGGCCTGGCCGTGGTCCGCCTCTGGATGCCTTTGCCTCCGGGTCTTCTGAAGGCCTCTGGGGCCCTCCGCATGGCCGCCGCCGCTGGTGCGGCGCGCGACGACGGCGGCGGCGCCGCCGACGCCGTCCCAGGCGAGGGGTGTTTGTTTCCCTTTCCTTGGGCATCCAGGAGGTTTCTTGTCGCCGCGGCCTGATTGCCTCTCTGGCAATTTCGCCAAAGCGCACAACTGGTCTGGCCCAGGCGTCCAGAGGTCCGCGTCCCATACTTCTTGTGACACGGGGGCTGGCTTCGAATCCTGCAGCTGTCAGATATTCTCCCAGGATAAAATATCAATATTTGGGAAGGGATGGAGAGGTCAGCCGCCCGCGCTTACGCAACAAAGACATCATTTCCACACGCCTAGATCCAGTCTGTGGTTGGGGGCGAGCCCCTGAGGGAACGGCGGGGTGCCACAGCATGTCCAGCCTGTCGCGCACACTGCTCTGAATCGAAGTCCAAAGTCAGGCGAAGGACATCGAAGCATCGGAGGTTGGGGGGTGAGATCGCAGTGAGACAGAGACCCCCCACAGGGAAATCGGTTTCGGTTTCGTGTTCGTGTCGCGCGTGCGGGCGAGGCGAAGCTGCGCGTAATCCTCCTGTATAGCTAGGCCGAAGTAGAGGCGAGAGTCCGTTCCCCGTCCGCAGGTGGCCGGGATGTGTCCCAGTTGGGCAGGGCGGTGTCCCAGGTATCCCGGGTGTCCCGGGTGTCAGTAGGAAGTCCGTTTCCCGTCCGCCGGTGGCCGGGAGGTGTCCCAGTTGGGCCGGGCGGTGTCCCGGGTGTCCCGGGTGTCCCAGGCGTCCCGGTATATGTCGGAGGTTGGTGGGTGAGATCGCAGTGGAAAGGGAGACCCCCAACCGCGAAATCGTTTCGTGTCGTGCGTGCGGGCGAGGCGAAGCTGCGTGGACGCGCGAGAGGAAGACAAATGATTGTCCTCCGACCGTCCGGCGGTGGCCCTAGCGGTGTCCCGCGGTTTCCCGCAGTGTCCCGTGGTGTCCGCCGCTGCTAGAACGAAGGCAAGACAAATGATTCTCCTCCGTCCGTCCGGCGGTGGACCTAGCGGTGTCCCGCGGTGTTCCGTGGTGTCCGCCCTTGCTAGGGCGAAGCCAAGACAAATGATTATCCTCCGTCCGTCTGGCGGTGGCCCTAGCGGTGTCCCGCGGTGTCCCGTGGTGTCCCGCGGTGTCCCGTGGTGTCCCGTGGTGTCCCGTCGTGTCGCAAAAAGTGAGATCGATAGTAAGATCGATATTGAGATCGATACCCAGATCGATATTGAGATCGATACTGAGATCGATGTGCTGCCCCGAGGTGTCCCTTGGTGTCCCAGAAAATGAGATCGACAGTGAGATCGACAGGTGTCCCGTGGTGTCCCGTGGTGTCCCGTTGAGTGAGATCGATAGTGAGATCGATATTGAGATCGATACTGGGATCGATGTGGCGTCCCGTGGTGTCCCAGAAAATGAGATCGATAGTGAGATCGATGGTGAGATCCACAGGTGTCCCGTGGTGTCCCGTGGTGCCCCGTTGAGTGAGATCGATAGTGAGATCGATGTGGTGTCCCGAGGTGTCCCGTGGTGTCCTATGGTGTCCCGTTGGGTGAGATCGATAGTGAGATCGATAGTGAGACCGATTGTGAGATCGAGAGGTGTCCCGCGGTGTCCCGTGGTGGCCCGTGGTGGCCCGTGGTGTCCCGTTGAGTGAGATCGATCGTGAGATCGATAGTGAGATCGACAAGTGACCCGTGGTGTCCCGTGGTGTCCCGTGATGTCGTGTTGAGTGTGATCGATAATGAGATCGATTGAGTCAGATGTTGGTTCCCCCCCCCTCTCCCGCCCCCCCCCACAACCTCCTTATCTCCCGAAGGGTGGTCGTATAGGTATATATATATATATATATATATATAGGTTGTTCCACAAATTGTGGTGAAGTTGGGGTTCTCTCCCCGTAGCTTGATAAGAGAAGACCGGATGCACGTGCAGCCAACACCTTGGCACATGGCCTGGCTGGCCTCGGGGTCCTGAGCCCACAAGGGCCCAGACGAACACACAAAAGTGTTCGACCCCTCCAGCCCCACCACTTCGGGACGACTGGCCGAAGGCCTTCCTAAAACAGCATGCCGAGCACTGGAACGAGGCTAAAAAGCAGACTTCCATCTCAAACCACGGACGCCCCCCAGGGCCCCCTGTAGGACTCGATAACCATGCACCTTTTTTGCACATGCACACGTCGTCTCAACTTGAATCGAGTTACGCGTTGCGCCCAGCGAAAGCAGGGTTACACATTTACCGAATGGCCTTCGGCCCATTTCGCCACCGTGTCAGGGTCGTGGGTATGTAGCCTGGTGGATGTTCGTTGAGATCTCGTGGGAGGCCTCTCGCGGGCCTCTTGGAGGCAATTTTGAGGCATCTTTGGGGCCTTTTCGCGGCTTCCTGGGGCCACTTTTTGGTCACCTGTGGGCCTCTTTGGGCCTCTCTGGGGCAAGGCCTCGCGGATGTTCGCTGGGATATCGTGGGGAGTCGCTCGGGGGACTCTTGGAGGCAGGTGCGGCGCAAGTAATTTCGACGCGCATGCTTCGAGGCCACTTAGCGGAGCGGCGTCCCGCGAGTCCGACGCTTAGCACTCCGGGAATCGACGATTCGTCGCGCACGTTTTGAGGCCAACTAGCGGAGTGGCGCTCCGCTAATCCGACGCGGGGATCGCCGAACATCTTTTGAGGCCAGTTAGTGGAGCGGAGTTCCTCTAATGAGACGGGAAGCATTCCGCGAACCGCACTCGTCGAAGGCAATTCGCGGAGCGGCGCTCCTCTAATCCGACGCGATGCATTCCAGGAGTCTCCGCGCATGCCGTGAGGCCAGTTATCGAAGCGGCGCTCAGCTTATCCGACGCGGAGCACTCTTGGAGTCGGTGCGCATCCCTTGAGGCCAATTTCGCGGAGAGGCGCTCCGCTATTCCGACGCGATGCACTCTGGCAGTTGGTGTCAGATCCCTGCAAGATTATTCAGGAGTGAGGACCGGGCAAAGGGACCTGAGGGCAAGCCCTCTCTGGGTCCAGAGGTCCAGAGGCACGGTGGCGGAGTTCAAGCGCAAAAGATTTCCAGGGGCAGCACCGAGGGGGCGGCGGAAGCTTACCAAGAAAGCATAGGAACACATATGGAAAAACAAGCAGTTGAACACCTGCGTTCGCACAGAGAAGATGGGCAACCAGCAGCCAGCGCCTGCAGTTTGTTGTATTTGGCCAATGTTACATCAACAAGCATAACAGCTGTCATATGTGTTTGACTGGACTGTTTTAGCCTGTGAAAACATATCCGTTCCACTGTGTTGATGTTTCTGTGCGCCTCCGAAGCTTCCACGCTCCCACGGCGCCGCCCTTCCAGATCCACCGGAAATGCCCGATGGCAGAATCAATACGTAAACGTTTACAATTGGCATCACTACATAGTTTGCTTCGAAAAGGTGTCCAGGGGTAGCGTCGTGGGGACGGCCTGAGCTTACCAGGAAAGCATGCAACAAACTTGAAAAGCAATCAAGCACCCATGTCTGCGCATAGAAGAGCGCGAACATAGGAAAACATGTTTGTTTCATGGTTTGTACCCCTTGCACAAACAAGAAGAGCGACGGTCACAGGTTTTCCGAACTGTTCAATGATCCCCAAAGTGGAAATACAAATTCCCAATTGCGATATTGAATCGTTTCGCTCATTTTGCCGACCCATCGTGTATCAGTGTTGCTATACGTTGGCATGCTCGTGCTCGTGGTGAGCGAGGAGGAGCAGGAGGAGGAGGAGGAGGAGTACGAGGAGGAGGAGGAGGAGGAGGAGGAGGAGGAGGGGGCATTTGTCGGTCTCCTTGGAGGACTCCTGGGGCATCTTGGCGGTATTGCTTGGACCTCCTGGGGCGTCACGGGGGCCTCTTTGGGGCCTCTTGGGGGTCGCCTCGCGCGTGTTGTTTTTGTTCGCCTCTGCGGCAGGCGCGACGCCCACGCGTGCCAGACACTTTCCCTTCTCGGCGGGAACATCCGACCCTACCCTCGCCGATCAACGATTCGGGCAACTCGATGGGCGGCGGGGGCGAAATCCGAACCCTACCCCGCCTCCCATCGATTCAAGGGAATCGATGATTCGATGATTGGTGGGGAGGACCTCTCAGGGGAGGACCTCTGCTCCCCTCCCTCGGCGTTGCCACGCCAGAGGCAGCCTGGAGCTGGCACGGCGTCATCCTCGCCCTGCTGCTCACGCGGCGCGCGAGAGGTGGCAGGGCGAGGGAGCGCGGCCGTCTGCGGAGGCACCAGGCGTCTTGGCAGCCCTCCCGCCTGCCTGGAAGTCCTGGGCCTGCCAGGTGGGGTCTGAGCAGGGGGGGTCTGAAGCCGGATCATCGCCAACTGGTCGAACGAGTGTAGAGAGCGAAAGGACACCTGCTCGCATGAATCCTGTCTCCACCGTCCTCGGTGACCCAATCAAGATCCGAGAGAACGACATCAACGGCGCCGCATCAACGATGCATCGGCGATGCGGCTCGATTCGGAGCCTGACTTTCTCCACACCGACGTCGCCGACGCATCGCCCGACGTCGCCGACGCATTTGCGATGCGTCGGCGATGCATCGACGATGCGGTGCGATCCTCCGACCCCGTCTGCCCGGACCCCATCTGGGAGGCATGTGAAGGAGTTGGCTACACGTAAGAGCGGCTTTTCGCCGGAGTGACCTGTGGTGCGGGCTCACCGGGGTCCTCCGGATCGCTGAGCGCGACGCAGTAGTGGTTGTTTGCGCGCTTGGATTCGGCCACCTGGTGCCCCCGTCACCCGCGCAGCAAGAGTCATTCCTGCCCAAGGTCACCCTTGCGTGTAGCCGAAGGAGGCGCGGGGACCCTCTGAGAGGCCCTTCGCCTGCAAGACGTGCCGCCCCCATCTCCCCACTTCTGTGGGGGCGGCCTGCTCTCCCGCTGCCCGCGGTGCGTAGCAGCCGCCACCGCCGAAACACCCCGACGACGACCACGACGCCCACGCCCACGACCACGACCACGCCAGCGACCACGCCAGCGGCGACCGCGGCGACCACGGCGACGTCGACGATGCTGGCCACGACGACGGCGTCGATCGCGCCGAAGGCGGCGTCGCCCCCCGAGGAGGCGGAGGCGAGCCGCGAGAAGGGCAGCCGCCTCGAAGCGCTGCTGTCCCGGGAGCGGCAGGCCTGCCGGGCAATGGTGGCCGACGTCCTCTCTCGCCCCTCGGCCCCGCCGTCCCCGCCCCGCCTCCTCGAGATTGTCGAAGGTCCTCTGCCGCGTAATGGTCGCTACCCGGGCCAGGTCCTCACCCCTCTCCCGATAACGGTGACGACCGCCCGCCTCTCGAGATTGTTGAAGGTCCTCTGCCGCGTAATGGTCGCTACCCGGGCCAGGTCCTCACCCCTCTCCCGATAACGGTGACGATCGTACGTAGCGGGGGGGGAGGGGGCGCCTGGACCCCTCCCCCGATGCTGGTGCTCGTGCGCATATACTCTCACGATGGCAGCGCACACCCGCCCCGACGTGCCCCCCCCCCCCCCAAGCGGCACCCTTACCACCCTTACCCGACTTCCCCCCCCCCCGCCCCGGGTAACAACCGTCATTGGAAGTCGCAAGAGCGCAATGTTCTCGAAGAGGGGGCCACAGTCGGCACGTCTAATCAGAAAATGGCCAACCAGCGGATGCCCGATAGAAGTTTCTTGTCCCCTGATGTCTCTGGGGACCGATAGGAGCTCTGGGGCGCCTAAGCACTACGCTCGACGCCGTTCGTGCCCTTAGGTTTCGTTCTGCAGCGTTTCTGATCGCATGTGTCGACTGTGCCATGATCCAGCTGGGCCGGACGAAACAGGGGAGAGGAGAAACGGGGGGGGTCGAAAGTTGCTGCGTGCAGCCAGCTGGTTTCGCGGCCTTTCCGCAAAGTGTTTTGCTCGATGCGTTGGACTCCGGCGATGGGAAGCACGGGGTAAACTATCAATGAGCTTATTAGCCACATCCCCTTCCCCCCCCCCTCCCCCTTCCCCTCTCGCCCGACCCGATCCGGGCCTCCCTAATGCGGCTGGAACAGATGGGATCGGGGGAGCATGCCGCATCGACGAGACATCTGCCATGGGGCACGGTTCGCACCCCGTTCCTCTCCATCCCACCGTCACCGACCGGCGATGCGGCGCGATCCTCCGACAGCATGAGTGTGACCTCCTACATTGAGGAGGCCACGTTCGGCCACCCGTAGCCCTTCCCGCGGCCCTGAGAGGTCGGTGCTGATCCTTCCCCGCCCGGCCTCGCCAGGCCTGGCAGCAGGACCGGCACCGCTTGCAGCTGCTGCAGCAGCACGCCCCGAGGGGTCTTCCAATCGTCGCCGCCATCGTCGCCGTCGTCGCCACCTTCCCTTTGGGCCAGTCTTCCGCCTCGTGTCAAGTTCGATGCACCCTGGGGCCCAAGAGCAGCCCCTGGGGGCCGAAACAGCGGGACCACTCCGATGGATCTGGGCAGTCTGCCCGAAGTCCAGGCGAGCGACGGCAGGGCACGGGGCGAACTGCGCCGACAGTCTCGCGGGAGCCTCCCGCGTCGGGCCGCGCGTAAGCGCCCTCTTCTCTTCGCGGCGTGCTGCGCTGGCAGCCCGCGTAAGCCGATGCGAAAGGCCGCCCTGTGCTCCCGTGTAAGACCCGTTTGTTGCCGTCGTTCAGGTGGAAATGGGGAGCAGATAATGACATGAACATGAATACTCGGCGGTCCAAGAGGACTTCTTGGATCTGCGCTGGGCCCCCCCCTCCCTGGCGTGCAGAGCGCGCCAGGGGCGGCGCCGGATGCGCCGCTTGGGGGGTCCAGCGCCGCCTCTTATGTATTCCCCAAACAGTGCTTGCGCTTGGGGGTTACGATTTCTCTCGTAAGGAACTGGGCCTGTGCGGCGGTCCGGCTGGCTTGTGGCCGCCCGTCGATGCCGCCCGTCGCCGCATTTGGTTGTGATTTTGATTGTGCGAGGCCCGCAACGGGGACTGGACACGGGTCTGGCAGCCTTGTGGCCGCCCGACGCCGCTGTCCATCGCAGCACAATCCCCGTCATGATTTTGTTTGTGCGAGGCTCGCACGTTGCATTGCTTTGCGTTTCTTTGTATTGCACGGCATTGCTTTACATTTGTTTACATCGCATTGCATTGCTTTGCATGGTTTTCCATTGTCTTGCATTGCTCTGCATTGTTATGCGTTGTTTTTTGTTGCCACTACATCGGGTGCAAGTGGTTTGCACTGCGTTGCATTGCGCAGCTGTTCTTCGAATTGTTTCGCATTGCTCAAAAATGTGTTGTTTCTTTTGCGCTGCAATTCATAGCTTTGCAATGGTTTGCGTTGCATTGCGCTGCAGTGCTATGCATGAGTTGCGCTGCCATTGCATTGCTTTGTATTCGTTACATTGCGTTGCATTGGCTTGAACTTATGTGTCTCGCTTTGCCTTCACGCGCATTGCTTTACACTGCATTGCTTTGCCTTGCGGTACATAGGTTTGCATTGCGATCCAGTGTTTTGCGTTGTGATGCGTTACGTTGTTTCGTGTTGCTTTGCGTCGATGTGCATTGAGTCGCATTGCGTTGTATTGGTTCGCATTCCTTTGCACAGTTAGCATTGGTATACATGGTTTCGCATTGTTTTGCCTTGACTTGCATTGTATTGCTTTGCGCTGCCTTCCAGGTTTTGCATGGCTTTGCATTGCTTTGCATTGCTGTGCATTGCTGTGCGCCACATGGATTGCCTCAGATCGGTTGCACTACCTTGATTGCACCACCTCGATTGCACTGCATAGACTGCGAGGAGTCACATGGATTGCCTCACATCGGTTGCACTACCTTGATTGCACCACCTCAATTACACTGCATAGACTGCAAGGAGTCATTGCTTGCGGCCCACGCGGGCGAACATGTGATTATCTGTTCCGCGGGCACAGCCGCCTTGGGGGCCTCTGGGGGCCCTTTTGGCGCGTCTTGGGGCCGCCCCGGGTGTTCCGGCATCCTTGACCAAAGCGTCCCGAGAGTGTCCCAAGAGTGTTCCGAGGTATTTTTCGACGGGGACTCCCAGGGGCCGCCACGCGCGCGCGAACTAGAAACATTCGAGTTTTTTGCTCCCCGAGCACAGCCCGTGTTCTCACCACCAGGCCGCCGTCGAGCTGGCGGAGCAAGCGCGCCGGCAGAACGCGAGCCGGGCGCAGGACGAGCGGCTGGAGCGCTCGCTCAAGGGCGCGCGCGCGGAAGCGGATCGCGCGGCCGTCAAGAGCAGGAAGCGGCTCGTCATCGTCGTCGTCGTCGTCGTCGCCGCCGCCATTAGCGTCCATCGATCGTCGTCATCGTCGCCGATCGGGGGTCGAGGATCGAAGCGAGGGTCGAGGGTTCGAGGGCTCGAGGGCCGAAGTCAGAGTGCAGGAAGTTTTCGCTGCCTTCGTCGTCGAAGTCGTCGTCGAAGTCATCGGGGTTTCGATCGGCGGTCGAGGATCGAGGTTCGTGGTCTGGCTTGGGTCCTTCTTGGGCCTCGCGGGGCGCCCTCGTCGTTGCGGTTGGATCCGTTTCGAACTCTTGGTCAGAGCGCTTTCCAAGGGGGGTCCAAAAGGCGGTCTTCAGAAGGTGCGTTCGTCGTTGTCGCCGTCGCCTACGACATGCAAAGTAGGGCGGGGAATCTTGTGTGCAAACTCCAAGTTACTCTGCCTGATTTTGTACAACAGTCCTGGTATTGTCTGGTCTGTCTGTTGTCTTTCTCCGCTGCCTGGAAGCATTGATCGAGACTGGCAGTGTCGGCTCGGGCCTGGAGCCACCGCGGGAGCCGAGTGATGATGGTGATAATGTTTGTGATGATGATGATGATGATGATGATGATGATGATGATGATGATGATGATGCTAACGATGATGGTGATGATGATCATGATGATGACGATGGTTTCAATGATGATGATAATGAGGGTGTTGATGATAATGACTATGATGACAACGATGACGATGATGGTGTTGATGATGTTGATGATGAGTACAATGGTGACGAAGATGATGATTGTTTTGATGCTGACGATGTTGATGATGTTGGTGATTGTGATGGTGATGGAGATGGTCAGGGTAATGGTGACGGTGATAGCGAGGATGACGATGTTGATGATCACGCTGATGAACACGATGATGATATGACGATGATGATGGGGATGATGATGATGATGATGATGATGATGATGATGATGATGATGATGATGATGATGATGATGATGATGATGATGATGATCATGATGATAAGGTCGTCGCGAGCTCAGGCCTTGATGTCGCAGCGGCCTATGGGACGCGCCATGTTCGAGGCTTCGGACAGGGGGGCCATCGATGGCGGCGCTGCTCGGTCCTGCCGCAGGTGTGCTCCAGACGGGGCGTTAACCACGGCTGGCAAGCATGCGGAGTGACGAAGAACCATATGCCGAAGGAGCCGCACGCCGCCATCTACCCACAGCCGCCTCTAAAGCACTTGATGCGCTCTTTGAGGAGGCGCTCGATCATGGCCAGGAATACTCTCCCAGTGACGTTGACCAGATCCCGTGGCCTGAAGATATCGAACCATTGCGTCCCTCCACAGGCGCAGCAGCACCAGCTGCACCACCAGAAGTTGCACCACCGCCAGCCGACGCTGCGCACGATTTACGGGACCAGCCACAGCCACCATCGCCCACAAAGGTCGACCCGATCGCCCAGACGTGTGCCGCCAAGCCCGTGTCCATTGTCGGCTGGAACGCGTTCACGATCAAGGGCTTGCTTGGCAGAGTCGACGACTTAAGCCACACTTTCCGCCGATGCCAGGCTATCTTGCTCGTGGGCACCAAGATCCGACAATCTACACCAGACGCGCCGCATCATTCAGAAACGTCAGTTGCCCATCATTGGATACATTTTGGTTGGACACGCGGTGCGCACAGTAAGTCCGCTCGAGGAAACAGTTCCGCAAGCTGGACTTATGCAGAGTCATGCGCCCTGGGCCAGAATTACGTGGACGCGGGGGGCTGGTCGAGGTTCACCGCGGTGCCCTACGCATTCGGCATATCGTTGCCTACTTCGCGCCTCGACCATCAGGTGGACCAGCCAAGATACGACCATGAAAGGACGGATGCACGAGATTATGGACTTGGCTTCTGACAGCAGTTACTGAGTGTCCATCGCGAGCCACCCCCATCGTCTTCACAGATCTTCACCAGAGCTTGGGTGTGCAGGCTAAACAGATCACCGACGACGCAGATGTGGGACCACGTCAAGCTGGTGACGAAAGCGAGTTCGGACGTCACGTACATAACCAGTTGCTGTGTCACGACCTTTCGGCGCTTAACTCCCACGTGGACGCCGGTTATTCAGATTACGGCCCCCAGAAGTCCCGATCTCGTATTGATTATCTTCTTGGACACCAGAACCTACAGGAGATCACCCGCAGCATCCGATTGGATTGGAGGGCACATCGGCGAGTGCGTGGATTGGAGCATGTACCTGACCACATCCCGATAGTGATGCGGATTCGTATGCCGACGACGAGCACTAACCCTCTGGACTCACGTGTTACGTGGGGCTGGGGAGCTTTGGCTGCGGGATTGCAGTCTGGATATGTGCGTGAGGAGTTTCTGACAGAATTGGCATCGGACTTACATTAGCATCAAGACGCAATTCGAGTGGCCAAGATGGATCAGTTCCCGACGAGGCACGCAGCGATACTCAGTTACTTGATCTAGACGGCGGCAGCCAAACATTATTCTCGAGAAGGCTTCAGACCCCACTAGCACAAGCAAGCTCAAAGAGATCGCCTCCAGCTATTTTCGTCAACGCGCAGAGGCGCGTGAACGTGGACACACCTGTGACTCACGAGAGCTGCGCGATTTACATGCCCGGCTTCGAGACCATCAAAAGTGGATGAGGCATTGGTGGCAAGTTTCTCTCGACATCGATTTCCGACAAGCATGGGCATCCCGTGACTTATCGAGGCTATCACATTCAACGTGTCTTCGCGGTGGCCCACGCGCGGGACCCCGCCGACGATCATATCTATCCCTTCCCACCACGCGACAGTCAGCGAGCGAGTGTGAGCAGGCATTGTCGGCTCATGCAACCGATGGTGGAATGACTGCGACTAAGACATACGCAAGTCTTTACAGTAAAGACACAACAGCAGCCCCGCGCAGGTTGGCGTAGATGGACACCATGCAACCTGTTGGCGACTGCATCGGCGCCCTGACCATCGACGATCTCGAGGAATCGAGCGCTGAATTACAGGCGATGCAGAAGCGCCCCTGGCGGGAGAAGAGACGCAGGTGCAACCCGCCCTGGGCCTGGCCGGCTGCGCTGACGATCGCGATGTTGGCGCCGAAGTTCCCCATTCGACCTGGGCCAGATCGCACGGGCATCGGAGCAGGAGAGAATCGGCGGTTTCAGATTCAGCCCTCAGACCAAAGGCGCCCTCGACCCGATCGGCGGCAGCTCCAGTTGGACGCGCATGTGTGTTACGAGGTGGCAACGACATTTGCGAACCTCCTTGGACACGCACGGCGCGAATCGGAATTGCCCGCCCAAGCCTGCACGAGCCACGCCATCTTGATCGGCATGAAAGGCAAGGCCCCACAGGACGCCCTGTAGAAGACATTTATCAGTGTGTTCGGCGCCTTCATGGTTTTGATCATTCCTGGCGCCTCTATCTTCGGACCCTCGTTTGGCGCACCATCGCGGGCCTACGGGGGCATATTTGCCAGGCGGCGAGAATCTTTGAGGGCGGCCAGCATTTCTTTCTTGGCCAAGACCTACGAAATGCGCAATGCCTTCGCCACGGGCGATCGCGTCAGAGTGTTTGCTGCACGCGCGGTGCGATGCAACGACGAACATGTTCATCCTCTCCTCGAGCAGCACCGTGCACGCGCAGCTGTTTCCATCCAGGCCTCTGATCCTACCCTCGCACTTCGGCCAGGCACAGGAGGGGTGGTGGTGGATTCAAACGAATCAGAGTTTTTCATGGGATCATTCTACCCAATAGTGGAGGAGCGGGGGCGGGAGATGACCGAGTTGCAGGGGCAGCCCTTTCGAGCGCGGTGCCCATTCACCGATCAGGTGTTCCCTGGGCACTTCGGCGCCTCTATCGACGACCTATTTAAGATTCTCCCGGCCCCCGACAGGACCGCCTGCCAGGCCGCGTCTGGGCTGGCCCCGGGAGCAGCTAGCAGAAACTCTACGGGCCATGTTAAAGGGAGCTGTGCAGCATGAGGGCCCTGAGGGCCATCATCATGCTATGTCGACGCCCTGGATCTTTCGAGAATGGCAGGTGGCCCCCACTGCAATCGATATTTTAGTGCGGCGTCCGAGCTGGCGGTAATGCATTATGAGTAACGTCAGCCATCGCGGGCAGTTCCTCGCGTCTTCTTTTCCGAAGGATGCACGATTGAGAAGCAGGAGGCCGCAAGCAAACGCCCGAATTCAGTGTCGCCCCCCAACGAGCAGTGCGAGATCAAAGTGCGCGCTCATCCATGGGCGCGCCAGCTCTCGAGCGACCTCGAGCGTCTAATTTCACATCCGATTGGTGGAACAAAACATGTTGGAGCGATGATCACCTACGCGATGCCTTTCTTCTCTGTGGGGCACGAGCGCTTCGCGCAGGTTTCTGGGCGCGCCAGCGGGCCCCCCCCCCCCCCCCCCGAAGGCGACGACATTCTCGAGGCCATCCCGCCCCAGAACCAGCAGGATGAGACCGACGGCGACGCTGAGTTCTTCCAACCTCTCAGATGTGCCCCCCCCGGGCGCGGTCTTCGGTTCGCGGCGATACGACGGCTTGTAAGCCACCAAACAGAAAGCAAAGCTGAAGGACACGGACAGCCTCAACTATTGACCGCCATGCAGTACGACAACACATACATTGCATGCGATACCACGTTCCCTAATGTAGATCATGCAGTACGACGCTTACGACGAGCATGGCAACAAGGTAGGTGCATTGCAGAGCTCGCACATCATAGCTACCTATGGATACCCCCTTCATGTGCGACATGCCCATTCTCTGGGTATCAAGTGGATTATACATGTATTCCTGAATGCCATGGCCCTGCTGGGCTACGGCAACATGTACTAACCCACCTCCCTCCGTCGCCGTCGGGTTCGTTGCTCGAGGCTCTTTCGCGCAGAGAGGTGGACAGCGCGACCCCCCAGCATTCGCGCGGGCTCTTCAGCTGCGCCGTCCCCGCCCCGTCTTCCACGAGCTGCGCAGGGCACCTTGGCGGCCAGACGCGAGTTGAAACGTTCTGCGGATCGCCTCTTACTACCGACTCGCGGGAAGGCCCCCGCGCCAGCGAAACCGCCCAGTGCCCGACTTTCGAGAGCAACACAGACTGGAAGATGTTCGACAGCTTGAGCACCTACGCGGACCAGATAGGCAGCGGCTACTCCGACACTACCTCCGCCACCGGGCTCGCCCGCAGCCAGCCTGGCGCTGGCGGCCCTGGAGGGCCTGCTGCTGTGCGACATCGGCGGCGACATGAAGGACGAGATCCGCGCGCACCTTCTGAAGCGCTCCCCCGAGGAGCAGGGCGCGGAGCCCGACATCGACAAAACGGACCTGTAGGTCGCCGTGAGTTTCGTTCGCTTGGGGAGTTGCTACGACCCGCAGCAGATGAAGGTCATCGTCGGGGCTCCTAGCTGGGAGGGGCGACCACTCCAGGAGGCGCTGCGGGCAGAGGACGTCGCGACCCACCACAAAGGGGTAGCGCCAGCGGGCTGTCTCGAGGACGAAGTGGGCCACTGGCTGGAGGCGATCAGCGAGGGCGGCCTTTCGAACCCATCAGACTCGTGAACGGAGGTTTTTTGCCAGCCGAGCGCGCTGCCCCTGCCCGCGCAGCCTCTCCCAGCGTAGAGCCGGGCTCGGAGTTGGGCCTTGATTTGCCAGCGCAGACTACCGAGCCCGAGCCTTTCGATGGCGATTACGGGGCCGAGGATCTCGCAGCAGCAGATTTCTATGATTAGTTGCCACCGCATGCCGCCAGGCCCCGCTGTGATTGCACCCTAATGGCATTCCCACTGAGCAGCACTCGAGAGTCACCGCTCTCTGCGACGAGCCTCTAACTTTTTGCAAATCGGTCGACATGCGCAAGTATTCCCTTTCTTGGCGTTGATGTCGTTGGAACAACATGATGATGACGATGATGATGATGATGATGATCAGCACCATCCTCATCATGACCCTGATCATGATGAGAATCATCAGGACGATGATGATTCTTGTTCGTGGTGAGAAAGAGCGCCTTCAGTGGTCGCTTGGAGGTGGGGGGTTGGAACCGGCCCCTTCTTCCCCTACTACTCTCTCCCTCTCCTCGGGCCGGCGCTGGCGTCGCGGCGGCTGGCGGCGGCTGCGGGGGTGCTGGTGGTGATGGTACTGGCGGTGGTGGTGGTGGTGAGGTGGTTTGTTGTGGTGGTGGTGGTGGGTTGTGCTACTGGTAGTAGTGGTGGTGGCTGTGGCGGTGGTGGTGGTGGTGTGGTAGATTGTGGCGATGGTGGTGGTAGTGGTGGCGGGCTGTTGTGTTGGTGGTGGTGGTGGTGAGCTGCTGTGGTGTTGCTGGTGGTGGCTGTGGTGTTGGTGGTTGCATGGTGGTTTGGTGGTGGTGGTGGGTTGAGGTGGTGATGGTGGTGGTCGTGGTGGTGGCGGTGGTGGTGGTGGCGTGGTGTTTCGTGGTGCTGGTGGTGGTAGTGGGCTGTGGTGTTGGTGGTGGTGGTGGTGCTGCTGGTAGTGGCGCTGGTGGTGGTGGGTGGTGGGTGGTTGGTGGTGGTGGTGGTTGTGGTGGTGGTATGGTGGTTTGCGGTGGTGGTGTTGGTGGTGGGTTGTAGTGATGGTGGTGGTTGTGGCGGTGGTGGTGATGGTGATGGTGATGGTGTGGTGGTTTGTGGTGGTGGTGGTCGTGGTGGCTTGTGGTGGGTTGTGGAAGGTTGTGGTGGTGCTGGTGGTGGTGGCGTTTTTGGTGGTGGTGGTGGCGGTGGTGAGGTGGTTTGTGGTGGTGGTGGTGGTTGTGGCGATGGTGGGTAATGGTTGTCGTGGTGGTGGTTGTGGTGGTGGCGTTGGTGGTGGTGGTGGTGGTGGTGGTGGTGGTGGTGGTGGTGGTATGGTGGTCTTTGGTGGCGGTGGTGGTGGTGGTGATGTGGCCTTCGGCTCTTCCCGCCATTGTGTTTTGGCAAAAAGGTCAGAATTCTAATGGATGCCTCTTGAGGTCTCGTCAGAAGTGTTTCGGGGGCGTCTAAGGAGCATGCGAGGGATCGATATGGCGATTTGTGTGTTCCCTCTGCGGCCTCTGGGCCCTTTCTGGTCATCGTCGCTGCGTCCCCGCCGTCGGCGCTGCTGGCCGCCGCCAGCGCCGGCGCCGGCGCCGGCGCGGGGGGGGTTGGTTTGAACATCCCCCCCCCCTCCTGGGCCCTCTCTGGTCATCGTCGCTGCGTTGGCGCTGCGGCGACCGCAAGCGCCAGCGCCTGGGGGAGGGATGTTTTGGACCCCCCCACCCCTGGGAGGGGGGGGGGCGGTTTCGGGAGGGGGGGGGTTAGGGAGCAGGGGAGTCCCCTGCTGTTCATCGACGGCGCCGAGTGTTGGTTGGGGGAGGGCCACCCCCCGGTTCGAAACGCGCCGCCGAATGTTCCCAAGGCAAGCGCCCGTGAAACGCGCTCTCTCTGTGGTGATAATGATGATGGTGTTGATGCCGGTGATGCTGGTGTTGATGGCGACGGATATGACCATGGTGATGTTGAGGCAGATGATGATGACGACGATGACGATTATGCTTGTGATGCTGATGCTGATGATGATGCTGCTGATGATGATGATGATGGTGGTTTCGCCGTCGCCGCTGTCGTCGTGGTCGTGGGGCTAATTCTGGGATGATGATGATGATGATGATGATGATGATGATGATGATGATGATGATGATGATGATGATGATGATGATGATGATGGTGTCTCCGTCGCCGTTGTCGTCGTGTTTTTGGGGCTACGTAATTCTGAGCTGCGGGAAGTCGCCGCCGCCGCCATCAGCGTCGATCGGTCGTCGTCGATCGGGGGTCGAGGATCGAAGCGAGTGTCGAGGTTTCGAGGGCTCGAGGGCCGAAGTCAGAGTACGGGACGTCTTCGCTGCCGTCGTCGTCGCAGTCGTCGTCGAAGTCGTCGTCGAAGTCATCGGAGGTTTCGATCGGCGGTCGCGGATCGAAATTCTCAGTCTGTTTCGGGCACTCCTTGGGCCTCGCGGGGCGCCCTCGTCGTTACGGTTGGATCCGTTTCGAGATTATGGTCAGAGCGCCCTCCAGGACGGGTCCAAAGGGTGGTTTTCATCAGGTGCGTTCGTCGCCGTCGTTGCCGACGACGCTGCTTCGCAAGAGGCGCCTCGCCGTCCTGCAAGGGGCTGCGATGAGGCCTCGGCCGTCGCCATGTCGATTGTCGCCGACCGTTCCGACCGACGTTCTACGATCGTGGCGTTCTTGAATAAAATCCTCCTCCTCCCCCTTCTCCTCCTCCTCCTTCTCCTCCTCCTCCTCCTCCTCCTCCTCCTCCCCCTCCTTATTTCGCTGGTGATGGTCTACCCTGGCCGAGGTTTGATGTTGCGATTCCTCTCGGCAGCCATGTTTGGCGTCCTCGCTACCCGCTGCCACGTTTCTCATCCTTCTCCTTCATCCTGGCTCAGGCCATGCCCCAAGATTTTAGTGGCAGCGCGATTTGATTCGCTATGTTGTCTGATGTCTGAGATGTGACGACTTTCATTTTGTTTGCGTCACAAGGGCCCTCTCTATATCTCTCTATATTGGAGCGGCGGTCATGGGCAACTCGGGGTCACACAGCCCCGTTGGGTCACGGGGCCAGCACGGGATCTCACCAGCCCCGTTGGGCGCCCGAGGATTCCTCCCAAGGATCCCCCTGGAGGGCTCACACAACACGCCCGCCAACACGTGCGCCGGTTGGCAATGTTACAAAAGGGACGCGGCCGTGCGTGAGGCTGTTCAAAGGATGCGCTCTGTGGGAGGGGGAAAAAAACACACCCTCAGGAGGCTGCTGCGGGATGGCCAGGCCCGACTGCACGAGGCCGCCGAGCGCCTCCGGCTGGCCACGGCGCGCGGCGCCGCGCTCGAGGCGCCGGCCGCGCGCGCGAGGAGTGGCCCCCGTCGCGGGGGATGGCCTCTGGCGCGCGGCACGTTCGCCCCCCCACCCCATGGGGGGCCAGGGCACAGCAGACTGCCCGGACCCCCAGCAGGTCATGAGACATGCATGGCGGGGGGGTTTTCGCTACCTTTCGGCCTCCAGGGGCCCCTGCTGGGACTCGGGGCCGCCAACAAAGGGCTCGGGAAAAGAAAACGGTCCCTGGGAGTAGGTCCACACCTCTGGGAGCCGTTGTCGTGAAAAAATCATGACGTCGGTATCGGTATTGGTTGGTTCCCCAGAACCAGTGGGGGGGGGGGCGAAGAGGGTGGTGATCACCAGGGGTGTGTGATGAATCATGGCCACCTCCCCCCATTCTTTCGACACGTTCCCTGCCCCAGACCCCGCCCCCCCGTCCGCGCACATGCCTCGGGCCACGGTGCCCTACACCCCCTCTTCCTGCTCCCCCCCCCCGTTCGGCGCACCCGAGCTTTGCCGGATCCAACTGGAGAAGACCGAGAGCGGAGATTGCTTAGGCTCTTGCTGTAGTTTTCTCGGGCGCGTCAGCGCCCTTGTTTGTCAAAGTCCTCGATTACAGGATTCTGGGGTGGCGGAGGAGGAGGCGGGGGGGGGAGGGGCCAAACCCAGGAACGTTGGCCGCTCATTGTCGCGTCTCATGCAGCAATCGGCAGGCCACGCGCCAGAGGGCACCCTTGCCCAGGGCCACTCCTGCGTGCAGCCGAGAGGCGGAGCTGCAGGACGTCGTTGCCGTCTTTGCCGCCGCCGATCAATCGATGTCGTCGTCGTCGCCGCCGCCGCCGTCGCCGCCGCCGCCGTCGCCTCCGCCGCCGCCGCCGCCGACGCCGTCGTCGTCGTCGTCGTCGCCGTCGTCTTCGTACTCATCCCTGTCCTGGTCCTGAGGCCAACCTCGAGGTCGTCTTCGTGGCTTTGGGGCTGAGTTTGAGCAGCAGAAGGGGCGCCGCCGCCGTCGTCGTCGTCGATCGATCGTCGTCGTCGTCGTCGTCATCTATCGAGGGGCCATTTCTCGAGGGTTGAAGCCGAGCTGCAGGTCGCTACAGCCGTCGCCGACGATGATGTCGTCGTCGAAGTCGCCAGTCCACAGTCGAGGATCGAGGTGCTTGGACGGCTTGGGGCCTTTACGTTTGTCGGAGCACCTTCGGGACTGCTCCAGAGGCTGGTTTTGAGGAGATAGTAGCCGTTGTCGTCGTCGTCGTCGTCGTCGTCGACGAGACAGAGGTAAAAACAGGCGAGCACCTGCCTCCTCCACCCTTGCCCCCCCCTCACCCCATCCTTCCTCCCACCTGCCCCTCCCCCCCACCCATTCCCCCCTCCCCAACCGACCCACCCCACCCACTCCGTTCCGCCCTTCTCCCCCTCCCCCCCACTCCTCCGCCCCAAGGGCTGACCCCAGGACCTCTCGTGGAGCGCGTCCCATCCAGAACCTCGAGCCGAAGCCGCGTGCAGCCGTGGCGACGAGGGCCGCCAGGCAGCCCGCAAACGTTGCCAGAGATTTTGGAATTATCCTTCGCCTCGCTCGTTCTCGCTCGCTCTCTCTCTCTCTCTCTCGCTTGTTCTCCCTTCCTCTTTCTCTCTCTCTCTCTCTCTCTCTCTCTCGTCTTCCCTTGAGATCGAGGCCCTGCCCCCCCCCTTCCTCAAGATGATTGGGCTGGCAGGACCAGAAGCGCGCCACCGAGATTGCCAGGGCGGAGGACCCACGGACAATTCAAAGAGCAGCGCAGTGTTGAGGAGATGAAAATTCGGAGAGGATGAGAGAAGGGAAGGGAGATGAGGGGAGGGAGTGGAGGGGAGGGGGAGGAGGAGGAAGAGGAGGTGGAAGAGAAGTAGAAGGAGGAGGAGGAGGCAGATTTGTCGTCCCTCCTCTTCCCCTCTCCTTCTTCCTTGCTCCTCCTCCTCCTCCTCTTCCTCCTCTTGCTGCTGGTTAATCAGTATGTCGCGCGCCCCGGCTATCAGAGCGCTCGTGCGGATCGCACCTGCCGGGCTGCGACGGGAAAACATCAGAATTGGGGCCAGCTTGTTACAGTGACGCTTGCGAAACCGCTTCCGCTCAACATGTGGCTCGATAATCATCAACTGGTGGCTTCCAGCACCTTCTGACCCTCGAGCTCGAGGTACCCAGGCGGGCGGGCGGGCGAGAGCTCTTGGGGCTTCTTTTGGGCCTATTGGGCCGTCTTGGGGCCATCTTTGGCGTCTTGGAGCGCTCTGGGGCTGTCTTGGAGGCCTCTTGGACCTTCTTGGTCGCTTTCTGGGGCCCTCTTGGCCCGTCTTGGGCCACTCTGGCCTCTGGAAAAGACAGGCGGGGCAGCCCAGGAACGCGCGGGAACACATGGGAAATTTGTGAATTTGGGGCCCCAGCCATGCGAATACGATAGCCCCATTAGAATGCCACAATCACAGCTCACACCAGTAGGGGGATCACGGACGTGACCGTGTGTAGTGATTGATCCCCTCGACCGAGGACATTGACCCTCGGAAACAATATGTGAAGTATGTCCTGGGTTGTATCGGGTCAAACATGAGAAGCACGAAGGAATGGGAAAGGAGGAGGACGAGAAGGGGGAGCAGGCGGTGGAGGATGACGAGGAGGAGGAGGAGGAGGAGGAAGAGGAGCAGCAGAGTAATGCGTTCGGTTTGCATGGCCATCTGGACACCCGCAGGAGGCAGAGAAGGCCAGGCGCCTGAACGCCACGAGCACTGAGTTGGAGCGGGCGCGGGAGCTGCTCAGCAGCATGCAGGTTCTTGGGAGGACAAGGAGGATGAGGAGGTAAACAGGGTAGAGGCGGTAGTGGACAGCACTGTCAGGCTAGCTAGCTGCACCCATGGGACCCCTGCGATGTCACGTGGAGGCGCAGGGCTGGCCATTGCCGCGCAGGAAGAGAAGGAGGAGGAGGAGGAGGAGAAGGAGGAGGAGGAGGAGGAGGAGGAGAAGGAAGAGCGGCGCAAGGGGAGAGGGTGGGCAGGACAAGGGGGAGTTGGGGGCGGCGTGCGGGCCACTTGGCGCCCCCGTATCGCAGGCGCGCGCCGCCGCGATGACGCCGCAGACGAGGTCGAACTCGGACTGGGAGGACCAGAGTACATGTCGATCCGATCGATCCGCTTCTATATCAATTCTTGCAGGCCCGCTTATGCTCCGACGATCCAATGCGGCGCGATGATTGCACGGCGCTGTTGTGCATCTCGGTGCGGCCGATCCGACTGGATTCCGATTCCGTGCCCATGCAGCCCGATCCGATGCGCATGTCAAATCGATCCGACTTACCCGTTCGATGTTGATTGATCTTGAGGACGCGGCTTGACGGGGCGACACGGTCGGGGGCAGCGGCGCCGCTGGGCGGCGCGCGACGCTTTCGGCGGCGGCGCCGCCGCCTCGGCGGCGGCGGCGCCACGGCGCTGGCCCAGACATCCAGGCGTCGCGACGGAAAGCACGGCGTGCGATTCCCGCTGTATTGCTCGGGGCTGTTCCTTCGGCGTCTGGCGACCGTCTTTGGGTCCCGGGGCTATCATAAGACGATTCGCTAAGGGTCAGGGCGCGGGCTAAACACTGTTTTCCGTTTTCGTTTTAATGCCGTTTTTGCGTCGTTCTGTGTTCGTTCCGCCTTAATTGCAAAGCGAGGTCAAAACGAAAACGGTCCACGAAATCACGTCGCCAAAACACCGTTTAGTTCGCGCCCTGCAACGAGTCACGGGTCCCTGGGGTGGGATGGAAGGCGGCCAGGGGTAGAGGCGACCGAAGGCTGGCTGCCCCAAGTGTGGCCCAGCAGCCCCCCACAGATTACCAGTTTGAAGCATAGCCCTATCCTTATGTTCGGCATCATATTACCTAGGTGCCGACCTTAAATGTTGTCGCAGTTTCTGAGGGCACACCCCTAAGATCGCCGTCGTTTCTGGCTTGCCCATCTGAGGGATAGTGACCAGTCCGAGTCTGATTACCATAGGCCCCAGCAGGCGCCCAGGCAGCCTCGACGAGGCCCTCGGGCAGGTTTCCGACGAGAGCCGCCGCCGTCGTGGAGAAAGCCGCGGTGCCGGAGGCCGTGGGGAGTGGCCACGCGCGGCCGGCCTGCACCCCCCGGCGGCAGGGGGCACGCCTGCTGTTCGTGTCGGGCGGGTGGCAGTGGGGGTTGACTTCCGGGAGGGTGGAGAGAAGGGGCCCGTCAGGGCCCCCTCGGAGCCCCTATTGGTCCAAGAGGGCCCTTCCAGGTCCCGTTCTTCACCCTCCGTTTAGGTCACCCCCCATTGCCACCCGCCCGATCGTGCGGAGTGAACGCTGCGTCGGCCGTTGCGTCGCCGACGGCGCGTCGCGCGCCGCTGATGCCGCGGGGGGGGGGCGCCAACTTCACCTTTCTCTTTCTCCGCTTCCCCCTCCAGCACCAAGCACGTCTTGCTCCTCCTCCAGCTCCTCGATGTCTCAAAGCGCAGGGGGCTCAAATGGAATCCTGAGGTCAGACTTGGCTCGTGGCAGCCGCTTGCCGTTATTTCGCATAGCGTAGTATCTGGAGCAAAATGAGCTCCACAATCATGGTCTGGATCACGCTGTCTTCTGAAAGCTGACAATCCTCGCGTAGCCAGAGTCACCTGGAGACCTTGCGAAGCAAAGATCCATCAACACGCTGCGCTTTCCAGAGCGAGGAAGTTTAGAGATAGACGGGTGGTAATACGAAAGTGCGCCACTGGGTGCCCCCCTGATTATACAAGGCGTCGTGTGCTCACTGGACCCCGCCTCCCCTCCCCCCCCTCACCCCCTTCAAAGGAGGAGGTAGGGGCTGCGGACCCCTCCCCCCTCCGCCCACTTTGTGCCAGAGAAGGGGGGGGATGATTTCGGACCCCCCCCCTTTTCAAAGGGGGGTTTGGACCCCCCCCCCACCCCTTGCGCCGGACAGGGAGCCGGGGGAGGTGCGTCCCGCTTCCCTGTAATGCGCCGGAGCTAGTAGGGCTCAGGATTCGGGTGGTTGAGTTGGGGTGAGAGTGTTAGGATTCGGGTGCTGGGTTTAGGGCGTTAGGGTTAGGGAGCTAGGGTTAGGGTGTCAGGGTTAAGGTTAGGGGGTTAGGGTTAGAGCGATCGGGTCAGCGTTAGGGTGATCAGGTCAGGGTTAGGGTTCGGGGGTTGGGGTTAGGCTGGTTGGGTTAGGGGGTAGGTTTAGGGTCAAGGTCATGGTCTTTCGGTTAGGTATCCAGGTCCAGAGTAGGGGTTTAGGGTTAGGGTTAGGGTGCTCGGATTAGGGTGTTCGGGTTAGGGTTCGAGCTAGGTGGCTACGGTTTGGATGGTAGGGTTCAGGTTAGGGTGATCGGGGTAGCGTCAGGGGATCAGGGTCATGGTGGTAGGGTTAGAGTTAGGATGGAAGGATTGGGGTTCGGGTGGTGGTAGGTTTGGGGTGTGTAGGGTGAGGGTTCGGGTTAGGGTGTTAGGGTAAGGTTCAGAGGAGTAGGGTTCGGGTTAGGGGGTTAAACTTTGGGTGGTAGGGTTAGGGTTCAGGTTAAGGGGTTTGGGTTAGGGCGGCAGGGCTACGGTCAGGGTGTGAGGCTCAGTGTCATGGGGGTTCGGGTTGAGGTGGTAGGATTAGGGTCAGGGTGTTGGTGTAAGGGGTTGGGGGTAGGGGTTTAAGGTTAGGGGGGGTCGGGTTAAGGTTAGGGATAGGGTTAAACGGTTAGGGTTCGGGTTCGGGAGTCAGGGGGTTATAGAGGTTTGGGTTCGGATGGCAGGACTAGAGTTCGGGTTGCCTCTAATGTGAGGGTTTTGGGGCGAGGGGTCTGGTGTTAGGGTTAGGTCCACCAGCCTTTATTCGAAGCCCGGTGGACGTATCCCATCCACCCATGACCCATCGCATACAGAACTCAACGCGTCGAGGATGTCAGTGCGATGCGTCATGCGCAGTACTCACGCCGCGCCTCAACCCGATGCAGCGGCGATGAGGTACGGGATCGGAGCGACCAGTGGGTAGCTCCCCACAGCAGGTTGCCGACGCATTGGCGATGTGCTGCGCAGCTTCGCGCGTTCCTGAGGGGCTATATTCACTCCCCCCCCGCCTCTCTTGCGTTCGTATCCACTTGGGCTCTGGGCGGGCTGCCCGCGCAACCCTGGCACAGCGCTGCTGCCTGGTTCACGCCGCCATGACTCGCAAGCGCCCGGCGGCTTTCGGGGCAGGTAGTTCGGAGTGCAAATAGCGTGCCTTGGCAACCACCCAGCCTGGTAGCCGCCTCCGCCAGGCTTGCGCCCGGCGCCCCAGAACGCCCCGGATTCCTTGGTGCGCGCGCCGTCGGAGCCTGGATGGCGCCAGGGTGTTAGGGCTCACGCTCCAGGAGACGCAGAAGAGAGGGCCCCAGGCCATCAGGGGTCGCATCGCAGCATCGGCGTGGGGCCTAAGGTTCGCTCTCCCCCTGCTTGCGGGTGACGTCCCGGGCTCTAGGGTTCTCCGCACCTCCCACCACACCATACAATTTCGAGTCGATGGGCGAGCCGACGTCCTTGATGGACGGGGAGGGGTCTGCCACCTCCTCCGTGCAGGGCTACGTATCAGCCTCTGTCAGCTGGCCAGCGCCACCGACGCTCTCTGACGATCGCGCTCGCCGCCGCGGCGGCAACTGGGGTTGTGGAGGCCCTTTGCGGAGAGCTCGCCCGCGCCGCCTACGCCGCCCTGCATGTGCCCCCGCTGGCGCTCCTGCCGTGGCCGACGCGGAGCCCGAGAGTGCACCTGCGGACGCCGGCGCCAGCCAGTCACCCAGACCGCAGGTGGGCTTCGACATGACATGGAAGTCGTCTCCTAAACGCTGAGGAAGCGGCCCTGCCTGAGGCGAGCCGCGGTAGGAGCCGCGCCGCATGCGGCACCAGGGCATCGGGCCAGCGCAGCAGCGGCCGCCCAGCCGTCGCTGGCGGAGCCTGCTGCTCCTCGCCCGCTGCGGCGGGGCCACCAGTTCCACCACTCGCACACGCCCTACACCGCGAGGACTGAAAAGGTCGCGTTTAGCTGGCACTGCACGGCGATGGCAACTTCGTCCAGATAGTCGGGGCTCGACGAGGAGTGCCCGCGGAGGACTAGGAACGACAGGATGGCCACAGTTCTGGCTTGGCTCAGGTATGGCAGCACCCGACCTCGATCAGCCCGCGGCGGGAGCCGATCCCCTTGCACCGCTGACTCTTTGACTGAGGCGCACTTGTGCCGCCCCCGAAGTGTGTCGCCCGAGCCTGCCAGCGGCCGCTGCGCAGCTCACTCGTGCGTGCGTGGCTGGAGCGAGCAGACCGTCGGCCGATGGTCCAGTCAGCAGCTCGCCATCCGTTCCCCCCTCATCCTGTCTCGGCCCCCCGCCTTGCGTCGTGGCCTCGGGACGGGGCACTGTTCCCCCCCTCGGGGGCCTCTGGGGACCGTGCTCCCCCCTGTCATCGCTGTGTGGCACGGGGGGGGTTCTGCGCAGGGGCCTGCGCCGATCGCGTTCTAGCGGGTGCCCGCGTGCTGGCCCGGGGGGGGAATCAACGGCCCAGTCCCTCTGGCAGCGGAGTCTCGTCGCACCCTTTGCAACATCATCACCACCATCTCTGTTATCCACATCAGTATTATCCTGGGGTCTTCCCCATCCTCTAACCTCCCTCTTCCCCCATCCCCGGATCCATCTCCCCCCTCTCCCCCTACCCATCATTCACCCCTTGTCCTGCTCCGCCTTTCCGTCCTCTTCCACCATCACCCCCCGCCCTTCCCCTCCCCTCTCTTTGCCCGCTTCCTTTTCCGCTACCCCGCCGTCCCATTCCTGCTCCTGTCCCTCCCGTTCCTCCTGCTCCTATTGCTCCTGCTACTGCAGTTTTTTCTCGTTCTCCTCAATCCTCATCCTTCTCATCTCCATCTCCCTCCTGCTCATCCTCCTGTTCATCCGCCACCTTATGCTCCTCCAACGTACGTGCACAGTTCCCCGTGTTATCTTGCACGTGACACGATGAGGTCATTTCGGGTGTGCCCAGACCGCTGCGACACCCGTTGGCGGATGGAGAAAACAAGTGCGAAATTGGAAAGGACGTGAGGCGAGCGCACTTTGCTCGACGATCCCCCCTCCTCTCTGTCTCGTCCCCGCCGTCATCGTCCCTGCCGTTGTATGCCGATGTCGTCGTCTCCGTCATCCTCGTCGTCCTCGTCGTTCCCCGCACATGTCCTGCGGCGCACCCTGACCAGGACGTCCGTGGCGGATCCAGCCCTAGCAGCGAGGGCTGCCCCAGAAGGGTTGACAGGGCGAGCACACATCAAGATATGTGTTTTTCCTCCTTTCGTCGTCGCGCCTCGATGTCCGTCGTCTGTGGTCGTCTGTCGTATTTCGGGTCGTGGGTGTTGTTTCCCGTTGTCCTCGTCGCGTGCAGTTGATGCATGTGGGTCGCCTCGAAGAAATTGCATTGAGCCTGTTAGTGTCCAGGATCTTCTGAGGCGACTAACTCTATGTATACTTACCGACGTCCGCGAGGTCTTGTACGACCTCTTTGATGCCATTGATCTCCTTGGCCTGTTTGCTGATTTGGTAGCTGTTGATGAGCATTGCCTTGCTGGAGCGCGATCTGGTTCTCGGCGTCAGCAGTGGGTCGGATGTCCCCCTCGGTATTGTAGATCGCTGCCAGGTTTTTCTGTAGATGCTTGAGAATGGCGTTCCTCCAGTCGCTGAACCGCGAAGTGTCCCCGCATGGTCGGAATATTGGCGATAACATTGTCGATGTTTTTGTGGTCGTGGAAGGTCGGCATTCAAGGCTAATTGTGGTGGTCTCCTCCTGATGTGGCGTGACCGCCTCTTCCTTTCCCGTGCAGCCTTTGACCATGGTGCCGCCGCTGGAGTCGTGGTGCTGGCGCGGTTGGTGGCCGCAGACCTTGTCATTGCCCATATCCCGGTAGTTGTCGGGGTGTTCGCTTCTCCATTGCTTGCGGTGGCCCTCCTTCAATCGGCCTGTCCGGTCCGTGGGGCTGGAGACGCCGCTGGCGCCATGGTGACGGCCCGAAGGCGTGGCGGTTGTTGGACACCGTGGTGGATGGCGAAGAGCTCCTGAGGCTTGGGGGCTCGAAGCGGCGTGCGATGATTGGCCTTGGCACGCCGGAGCCCCATGTGCCAGGTGGGACTCCTGGACACGGTGGTCAAGCGGTCAAGCTCAAGCGGGGCACGAGAGCAAGAACTCACGAAGCGGACGTGGCGGCATACGTCGCGGGCGATTGCTAGGCTGGATGGGCGCCTGGCAGGCCGCCGCCGCACGTCTCAGGGCCTGTTCGGAAAGCTGCTCGAGCGTTTGTGGGCTTACGCCTCCTCATCAACTTCATCCTCGTCCTCACCGTCCTCGCATCTTCCTCATCATTTTCCCACTTTCGCTTCCTCCACCCTCCTCCTCCACCCTCCTTCTCCTCCTCCTCCTCCTCCTCCTCCTCCTCCTCCTCCTCCTCGTCCTCCTCCTCCCCATTCCCCCCCCCCTCCCCATCTTCCTCCTCCCCCCCATCATCCACCTCCCCCATCCTCCGGTCATCCCCCCTGCCACCAGAAGAGCCCCCGCGTTCTCGCCAGGGTGTCAGAACGTCTGGCGCGAAGCTGTGTATCATGCTTGCCGCTGCTGCTACTCTTCTCCCTGCCCTTCTCTGATCATCTTCCTCTGCTCCCTCCCCGACCTCCTTACCAGTATCCTCATCACCCTCCTCCTTCCCCCTCCACCCTCCACCCCTCCCCTCGTGGTTCCTCGTGCGCTGGTGCACCACCTTCCTCATTGTTCATGCTCCTCGTCGTGCTCCGTCCACATCTTCCCTGCCTCCTCCCACATCGTGCCCCTTCTCTTCTGCTCTTTTCCCCCCCGCCCCCCCCCCCCCGCACGTTCCCTCGTCCTCCTGCTCCCCCCTTGCTCCTTCATTCCTCCCTCCCCCTCGCCCCGCCTCCTCCCTCCTCCCTTCTCTTGCCTTCCTCCCTGGCCCCTCTTCCCTCTCTCCTCCTGCCCAGAGCCATTTTGGCTCACGCCAGTCGCGGGAGGCAGCGTGCCGGAGGCAGCGCGCCCGCGCCCACGCGAGCGAGTAGCGGGCGGGGGAGCAAGCGCACAGCACCACCTGACGCCCCCACAGTCTCATCTCAGTCCAGGTCCTGATGTTCCCGGCCCCCCCGGGGATGCTACAAGCGGGTGCAGGGTGCACACCAGACCAGGACAGGGCTCATTTTTTCCAGGGCGTTCTGGAACGCTCTGAGAAGGCCGCGGCGTCGTCGGGTTCGAAGCCAGACGCGGAGGACGGCGCGGGCAGAGGGAGGAGCTCAGGGACGAGGGCGGGCGGGGCTATGACAGCGATGAGTCGTTCCAGAGCTTTCTGCTGCAACTGAAACGCTCTGAGAAGGCCGCGGCGCCAGACACATCCCCGAGAGCCGCCAGTTCTCGGAGACCCCGGACACATCTCAGAGACTCTGGCTTCGTCTTAGCACCCCAGGCTGTGGGACCAAGATGTTCGACGCAGCGGCACTGGGGTCGCATGCGCGGTTTTCGCGAAGGCGGTCGACGCGTGGGGTCGCGCATGAGCGCCCTCTCCTCCACGTCTGGTGTCCTCGTGCGTGGGGCCCGTCCTCTGCTTATCAGCCACGCGCAGAGGGGGGGGGGAGGGGGGAGGGCTTCTTACTGGCACCCCGCCTCTTAAAAGGCGCGGGCCTTGTCTACAGATGGAAGGCCGCGCCTTCTCAGGAGCAGTCTCCTTCTAAGAAGCCTTCCCCTCCCTCCACCCCCTTGTGCGGGCCGCCACGATTAGCGACCCTGGTACGCCCGTCTTGAAACGCAACAAATGTCGCGTTCAACGCGTATGCTCATACGCTGCGTGTTGGCTCAGCGTGTTGGCCCACGTTATGGCGACACAATCGCGCCAGACCTACGTTCGCAGTTTACGTGTTGAGCTTCTTGTCAACATGCTACGGGTGGTTGCTCTGGTTGGCCTGCGGAGGGCCGGTGGTGGCGTATGCTTCTCCTCTCCCTGGAGCGCGTCCGCCCAACACGAGAGGCCGCGGCCGCGGCCCGCCAAAGATGCCGAAGGAGTCCGCGCTGGTAGCCGTCGGCACCGCCTTCGCCGCCGCCACCGTGCTGCCGGCCGCAGAGGACGGCGGCGGCGGCGAGAACGGCGGCGACTGGCGGCGGCGGCGGCGAAGAGGACGGCAGCGAGGATGGCGGCGGCGGCGAAGAGGACGGCGGCGGCGGTGGTCGTGCCGACGGCGACCAGCGACCGCAGAGACCCCCGAGGACGGGTCTCCACGGGCGGCTTCGAGAAGGGCGAGTTCCGTCGCCTCGGGCTCGCCGGTGCCAGGAGAACGGGCATTCGAGGACGAGGACCTGGGGGCAGCTTTTCCAAAGACCGCCATGGCAGCGGCGACAACGACGGTGGCGACGAAGTCAATAACGACGACCTGGACGCCGACGATGTCGGCGACGTCGACGACCGCGACGACGACGACCACGATGACGACGACGACGACGACCACGACGACGACGACGACGACGACGACGAGGAAGACGACGACGGCGACGGCAGCGATGGCGCTGGCCTGGGCATCGACGACGACGACGACAACGGCGACGGCTGCGGTGGCAACGACGACGACAACGACGACGACGACAACGACGACGACGACGACGGCGACGACGGACACGACGACGAAGAACACGACGACGAAAAACACATCGACGACGGACACGACGACGACGGACGCGACGACGACGACGACGATGACGACGTCCGAGGGCAACGACAACGGCGGTAACGGCGGTAACGATCGATCGAGGACGAGGAATGTGGGGGGAGGTTTTGGCCCGAGGCCCCAGGCGCGAGGAGGAGCTGGCTTCGCGCGCGTAAGAGTGTCATTTCGCTGGACTGCCCTTTGGTGCGGGCAGGGGTCCGGGCAGCACTGGCTGGCGCGCTCGGATTGCGTGGATCTGGCCTTCCTTGCGGCCCCCTCAAGCCGCGCGCCAGAGGTCGTTCTTGCCTAGGGTCACGCCTGGGTGCAGCCGAAGGAGAGCCTTCGGCGCGGTAGCTCAAAGGAGGAAAAACAGCGCAGGGGTCACGGTCGCCGTCCCACGGTTTTCGTCGCCGTTGTCTGTGTCGTCGTCGCGCGTCGCGTTCGAAGACGGACGCGGAGAGCAGGAGGAGGGATGCTTGGCCCTGTGCGCGGGGGCATTCGAGGGCGAGGGAGGAAGGGGGGGGGGGGGGCGCGTCCCAGCTCCTCCGTCGCGCGGGTGCTCCTGCCTAGGGGACATCTCTGCCCCTCCTCCGCGGGCGGCTGTGGGCAGGCCGTGCACGCGTGGGCACTTCGGGCGCTCGTTCCCCCGGGGGTGTTCGCAAGGAGAAGCGGGAGGGCCTCCATGCCGTCCTTTGGCTGTTCTTCGTGCTCCTGCCCCCGTGCCCGGGGAGATCGTCCCCTACCCTCGGCCGTGGGCAGGCCGTGCACCTGGGAGCACTTTGGGCGGTCGTCCCCAGGGGCGCTTCGAGGCCTCACAGGTGGGGTTCGAGTAACGATGGGGTCGGGGGATTGCGCCGCATCGCCGATGCATCGGCGATACAGCTCGAGCGGAGCCCGGTTTTCTTCACGCCGACGTCGCCGATGCATCGGCGACGTTTTGGCGATGCGGCGCGGTCCCTCGACCCCACCTTCCTGGACCCCATCCAAGAGGCCTCAAGCAGAGCGGGAGTGCCTACATGCCCTCTTTCGGTCGTTCCCTGGCCGTGCTCGCTCCTGCGGTCGGGAACTTTCAGTGAGCGTGTCGCTCTGCCAGGGGGGGTGGTTCGGACTCGGGATCGAGGGGACGGGGCAGGGATGGGGACGACGTGGCCCGAGTCCGCGCGGGTGCGAGAAAAGGGTGCAAGGAGGATTCCTTCCTGTATACAGACATTCATGTGTATATAGATGTGCACACATGAACACATGTATCCAAAGTTGTGTAGGCGTTTCTGGATGGGCCTTACATGGTTGAGGAGGAGGAGGCACTGAAGGAGGACAAGTTCTGATGAGGAGGGGAACAAGTGCGCGGTTCGGTGCAGTTTTCGGAGGAGCGGGAAAAATGGAACAGGGAGGGAGACGAGAGATGGAGGAAGATAATGCTGCAGCAGGAGAAGAGGGAGTAGGAGGATCCAGAGCAGACAAGGGATGGGGAGGAGGAAGAGCAGGAATTGAGTGAGGAGGTGGGTGACGGTGAGCGGGATGAGGAGGAGGAGGACCAGTTCAAACCCAAGAGTCATCAACGTTGTTGGAGTAAACCCTCCCTCCAAGCTCCCTCGTCATAGGACCCATACAACAGTTCATTTCCATTGATGGAACTGCGTCCTTGGAAGACACTCGTTTGAAGACCCTGGGGCATGCCAAAACATCGTTCTCGGGATTCCAACGCCACGGACCAACCTGACTATTGCGTTTTGACAGTCCTGAACCGTGCCAGAACGCCATTCCTAGGACTTCAACACAGAGAACCAACGTAATTGTGGCACCCTCATAATCCTGGATCCTTCGAAAGAAGCGTTCCTGGTACGCTGGTGATGGGAATCCGTGAAACTCTTGAACATGTTTGAAACAAATGTGCGCCGCGCTAAGGCGAGAACCACATTTTGAAAAGGACCTGAATTCGTGAAACTCTTGCGAGTCTTGAAGACGAGTGTGCGCCGGGCTAAGGCGAAAGCCACATGTTGAACACCACTCGCCCTCAATCCGTGAAGCCTCTGCAAATGTTTAAAACGAATGTGCGCCGCGCTATGGCAAGAGCCACATTTTGAAAACGACCCGCCCTCAATCCGCAAAGCTCTTGCAACTTGTTTAGAACGACTGTGCGCGGCGCTAAGGCGAGAGCCACATTTTGACAACGACCCGCCCTCAATCCGTGAAGCTCTTACAAGTTGATTAAAACGAATGTGCGCGGCGCTACGGCGAGAGCCACATGTTGAAAGCCACCCGCCCTCCATATGTGAAAACTGCTGCCACTTTTTAAGCTGCAGGGACATAAATGGTGAGGAAATCTCAGGCGAAACGCCCGACCCGCCCTAAAAACTTGCTTCGGGGTGCGACAGGGATAAGTTATTTATGAGGAGGAGGAATGGAGGAAGAGGAGGAGGAGAGGAGGACAGATAGAGAGAGCAGGAACGAGTAGGATGAGGAGTAGGAGGAGAATCTGATTAATGACGCTCATTTGGGCTCCTCACCACGTCGCTCTCCTCCTGTCTTCCCTCCTCGTCCTCCCCCTGATCCCCCTCTGCCGAGCCCGAGGACGATGATCGGGCGGGCACGTACAAAGTACGTACGCGCTGTCCGACTTCGGACGGCGGCGCCCAGCATCGCGCCTTGTGCCTCATCCATCTCTGCGTCACCCGTTTCCTGGGGCTTTCTAGAAATGCCATTGTTTGCGCCTTCGCCCCCCGAGAGCACCGGGCCCGTGTCGGAAAAAAACGCCAGCGTTCCGCCACCTGCGTCCGTTCCGAACGTCGGCTCGCTCCTGAGGCTTCCCTTCAGAAGAGGAACAGGGTACCGATACCGTTACGTTTCCCTCGTTTCCCCCTTTTTGGGGCCTCCTGGGAGGCCCTCGTCGCCACCGCTGGATTCGCTCCGAAATCATAGTCAGAACGCACCCCAGGAGAGGTCGCAATATCGGTACCTTTTGGTTTCCCCACCCCTCCGCCTCCTCTGACCAAAATCCGTTTTACATGGTTCCTGGACCCCTCTAGGGATTGATCCTGACCCGTCGTTCATCCCAGGTCGATTCCTTGACGGGACAGGGGACCGAAACGAGGCCAATGATTATTTACATGTGGTTTCGTACCCTCTTCTCGCCTTTTCTCCCCTTCCTCCTCATCTTATGCTGCGGGGAGGTCCAGGACGAAGCCCCGACGCCCTCGAACCCACTTATTAAACCTCTCCCTGCTCCGTCCTCGCCCTTTTCCTTCCTTACGTAGACTGGTCCTCGCGCGGTTGGCCCCCTGCAGAGGAGGTCATGGACACGATGGTCAAATCGCTGATCAGTTCGCACGGCCTGCAGTCGTCCTGGCAGAAGGTCCGGAAGCGCCTCGTGTCCGTGGAGGGCGGCCTCAGCAAGGTCCGCGGCCAGCTCCCCGTCTTTAAGAATCGTAGCGTACGCATGCGCACACATACCTATATCCCATACATGCATATGAGCACACGTTTTCACAGCACTCCATCCTGTCATGGTTGCTCCTTCCGCGCGTTATCCTTCTCCTCCGTTCCGTCATCTTTGTGCTCCTGAGGATTCAAATCAGGATTCAATCAGAGAGGGATAGAAGAAGGGGGAGGGAGGATTCGATCAGGATTGAAGAAGAATCAAATAAGGATTCAACAAGAAAGGGCGAAGAGGAAGGGGAGGGAGGATTCGATTACGATTGAACCGGATTCGATAACGATTGAGGGGGGGAGTGTATTCCACTGCATTTGAATTGGAGTCCATTGGGACCGAATAAGACATGAAAGGGAGGAAGGAGGAAAGGAGGAGGAGGAGGGGAGGATAGATAATTTGGTTCGATCTACTAGACAGAAGAGAAATGAAGAACAACGATTTTGTGGATTCCCAAACCTCTGAATACACAAGCTTCTCTATCCAGAAAACGTCAAAAAGCTTGCGTGATTATATTGGGAATTCTATATCGCCTTCAAAATCAAATGTCAACAACGTCTTGAGCTCCTGAAAAAGGATTCCCTGGTTTGAAAACACAAGGTTGTGCATTTCCCGGGTCACAAAGCAAACATGTCTGCTCTAATCAACCCAGACATTGTTGCTTTCAAAATCTGTGTTCGCACATTTCTGGTTCCTGGATTCGCGAAGCCATACTTTGTATTGTCGTGTTTGCTTGTTGCTTGCCTCGGATGACACGACATACTGCTATATGTTGTCTGGCTGGTCTTTTTGATTGGCCCCGCAGGTAGTTCAAATCAGCAATCCGCCCCATCTGGCTTGCACACCATGCTGCCATCAAGATCTCTATGCGACCTGGTGTTTTTTTATCGGTGCCAAGAGTTCAATAGTTGTTTTGCTCTTGGTCTTCTTCTTTAAGTAACAAAGACACAATGTGGCGTGGAGGTCGTGTGCTCACACAGACAACGTCCAGAAGGTCTGCATATATGTATAATGTATATATAAACAGTTGTACCCGAAAAGTTTGTTATGCGTTGTGCTTTCCTAGAAATGGAAGAGGACCACGAAGTACCCCTCATAGTCTATTTTATTATCGAATCAAAATCTTGTATAGCTGGCCTTCCCGAGCCCAAAATATCCATAGACCTTTATGTTGTGTGTTTTAGAAATGCAGGAAAGACGAACACCACAAGGTTTCAAGCAATACTTTGGAAGCGGAAATACAAACAACACACGATGTCATGCACATTGTGGGATTTAATGTCAGGGCAAGTCGTGTTTGTTTATGTGTTCCTGTGTTTTTTGTATTCAGTACTTTGTGCTTCTGCGTTTCCGAACCCAAGCACTAATTACAACCTTGTGTTCCGTGTTTTTACTTGCAAAACAACAAACGAATCACTGTGTTATTGGGTTTTGCCAGCGGGAAGGAAAGCACACACGGTGTTCTTGATACGTTCATGGCAGAGCGGCCTGCAAGCCAGATGGTGTTGATTGTTAGTTCGAATATGTTTGTGAGACGAGAAACACAAGCAAGACAAGCATTATGCTATATAGCACAGTGCCGTGCCACCGGGGACAACAAACGACAACCCTAACAGAAACCAGGAACCGAAGAACTTATGTTTTCACAGGTTCCCAAGTCACGCAAACTGTCTTCCTGTGAAAAGAAAATTGTTCTTGATGCGGGCAATGTGAAAACCGATTCTTTCACATGGAACTCCCAGGAGCCCAGAACTTTGCGGCTTCATTGTATTTTGAAGGCTCTATAGGATCCGCCATATAAGCACACAGGTTTTCTTAGTTTCGAGAATACAAAACCGTGTGCGTGTGTGCGTGTGTGTGTGTGTGTGAGTGTTCAAAGGCTCTGGGATCCACGGAACAGTGCTCCTTCAGTGATTTCCGATGCAAGCTCAATTTGCCGATACCCCTTTTCATCCTCCTCCTCCTCATGTTCCCTCTTTTTCCCTTCCCCTTCTTCTTCGGATCCTATATGAACCCTATTCAAGCCCAACTGGATCCTCTCTCCCTCTCCTCTTCCTTCGTTCCCATTGGCTCCTTTTTTGAGTCCTATCCAATCCTAATCGAATTCTTTTCCCTCCTCCCCCATCCTCCTCCCCCCTTCCCCTTCTTCTTCCCTTTCCTTCCTTGTTCGGGATCCTACTTGGATCCCATTCTAATCCAATGCAGCCCTTCTCCCCTCCTCCTCTTCGCCCTTTCTTACTAAATTATTCCCTACCTAGGCTCTGCCCAGAAGAGTTCTTACTCTCTGAGCTTGAAGGGGCCGGGCAGTGGGGCTCGCCCCGGGCGGTTCCCCCAGGATCCGCCCCGCGGTTCCCCCAGTTACGTCCCCTGGGTTCACCAAGCTTAGCTTAGCGTAGCTTAGCGTAGCTTAGCTTAGCTTATCTCATCTGCGCTTAGCTTAGCTTTGCCTAGCCTAGCCTCGCCTAGCCTAGCCCAGCTTAGCTTAGCTTATCTCATCGTAGCTTAGCTTAGCTTAGCTTAGCTTAGCTTATCTCAGCTTAGCGTATTTTAGTTTAGCTTGGCTTAGCTTAGCATAGCCTAGCTTAGCTTAGCCTAGCCTAGCCTAGCTTAGCTTACCTTAGCATAACATAGTTTAGCTTACCTTAGCTTACCTTGGCTTATCTTAGCTTAGCGCAGCGCAGCATTAGCACAGCATAACATAGCATAGCATAGCCGAACATAACATAGCATAGCATAGCATAGCCAAGCATATCATAGCATATCATACCATAGCAGATCACAGCATAGCATAGCGCAGCATAGCATAGCATAGCATATCATAGCATAGCATAGCATAGCATTGCTTAGTATACCACAGCGCAACATAGCATAGCAAAGCATAGTAAAGCACAGCACAGCCTAGCATCGCATATCATAGCGCAACATTGCATAGTATATCATAGCATAGCGCAGCATAGCATAGCGCGGCATATCAGATCATAGCATAGCCTAGCATACCATAGCATAGCGCAGCATATCATAGCATATCATAGCATAGCGCAGCATATCATAGCATATCATAGCATAGCCCAGCATAGCAAATCACAGCAAATCATAGCATAACATAGCATAGCATAGCATAGCGCAGCATAGCATAGCATAGCATAGCCTAACATAACACAGCGCAGTCGAGCGTACCCTAGCATAGCATAGCATAGCATAGCGCAGCATAGCAAAGCATAGCGCAGCATAGCATCGCATAGCATAGTATAGCGCAGCGTAGCATAGCATAGCATAACATAGCATAGATGTGAGTGTCGCTGTTGCTGTTGATGTAGATGTAGATGCAGGTGTATATGTAAATGCACCTGCCGGTGTAGATATAGATGTTGCTTTCCTAAATGCTCCAACTCCTAGGTAGGGTCGCATTGGGGTGATTATGTGAAGCTTGTTCAATCCTGATCGAACCGTCCCTCCACCTCCTCGCCCCTTCCCCATTGAGTCCTTATTCGAACCCCATTCAATTCTAATCGGACTCCATCCCCCTTCTCCCCGCTCTTTCCGATTGAATCCTAAGTTGAATCCGACGGGCAGGACGTAAGACCGAAAGAACGGCGCAACGG